CCCCCGCAGACTTTCCCCCAATTTTTTTAACGTTCCCCCACAAATTTTTTTTCTTCCTCCATCTATGTCCATCAGATTGTGCCAATGTAAATCAGTACAGAAAGGGAAGAACTAATTTGTCCTTCATAAAGTGCTGCATGAACTAGGGTCAGAGTCAGAAAACTCTGAGGACCATCAGTGTAACCTAAAGGGCAGCATTAAATCTGTGGAAGTCTGTACGCCCCAAAATGCTAATTGTAGGCATCTGAGGAGATGAAGGATTCTATTTGTAGTGCTCAAATTACCTGGCTCCGAACTTCCTGACAACATGCAGACTTATAGATAAGTGACTCACGTGTGTATGAAGGACTCCAGTCACTCTTGATTATCAGCATAACGTAATAGTTGCTTTTAATTAAACTTATAAAGCCTAGCACAGTGTGCCTCTGGCAGTGTCCCAGATTTCCATATGGTCAGCCTAGTATTGAGAGAAATCCCTTTCTTCAACTTCGTGTCATCAGCAAACTTTGCCAGTGTACTTTTCACCCCCACGTCCAGATCACTGATGTAGCTGTTGCAAAGCACTGGTCCAAGGACCGAACACTGGAGTTGCTAAACATTCAGAAAATGGAGGGAGAAAAAATCTAAAAGTCAAATAACAAAATCAAAGAATTAAATGAAAAAGAAAATTTGAAAGAGTATCCAAATTATAGCCATATTGGTCTAGAGGCAAAAGGAATCAAAACTCGTGGTAGAGGTGATGTCTTTTATTAGACCGACTAGATTTTTGCAGAAGAAAAATTCTTTAATTGCAAGCTTCTGGGCACAAGCACCCTTCTTCAGGCATAGGAGAAAAGATTATAGAAGTTCTCCCAGGTAAAAGTGAAAGTTCATATTTCATAGGAGAGTTGAAGGTGTGGTCAAATCTCCTGTTTGGAACAGTTCATTTTATATGCAGATTAGGCTCAGAGAAAAGTTGGAATAGTCTGTTTGCCTCGAAGTTGGTTCATGGCAAGCATGATGTAGAGCCATATTTCTTTCTGGCCATGATATTTCATATTTCCCAAAAGAGTAAAAAGATGGAATGCTCTTTGGGCAGGAATTTCTTCTGTGTTGAGGTGTCTCTGAGCTTTGTGATGATGAGACTCTGATGGTGCAAATTACCCCCCACAAAGGCAGGAGCAGGGTCAAGTGGTCCAACTAGCTTCCTCCTTGTAAAATGATGAAGATTTCATGTCAGTTCTTTCTCCAGCTGATTGTAACAGGGTTACTTGCACGAGTAACCAGGAGGTAAAGGGAGTATAATTTTTACTCCTTAATTTCTAGCTACCCCTGAAATTTTCCAAATTAATCAGGTATGATTCATTTGCTCATCTGACACACAGTGATCTAAACAAAATGTTCTCTATAGACATGTTCAATGTATACACACAAAACCATTTAATTTAACTGATGTTTAATAACATCCTGGATAATTGCAACAGTTCCTTTTTATTTTCTGATGTAAGACTTATGGAAGAAAAATAACTACACGCACCAAATATATTTTTTTCCCTTTTTGCAGTTATTGTTCTAATCTGCAGCTCTGCAGATGTTGGGCCGATTATGCTAGAGGCTAAACAGCTGGGATTGGTAAATGGGAAGTTTGTTTTCTTCATTTTGCAGCAGTTTGAAGTTGGCGTCGATGTGAGTATTAGTACTTTGATCAGATTTTTATCATTGACTCTTCTCAGTCGGGGAGCTGCTATCACAAGGGATTTTACATCACACACGTTATGCTTAAAAAACGAAAAAAATACTAAATATGACCCTGACTGCATCACAGTATGCAATAATTTATATGTACTATTGGGATCAATAATTACATCTTGAAGAAGGAAAATCATTATTTTAAAAATTACCTGCTGTTGCACCTGCCTCCGAATAATCTTTCTCTTTCAGAACAGTTTTTTGGAAGAGGCACTGAGTGATGAGAAGAACGGCAGCGGGCTGGAAAACTACCAGTCTGTATTTCTGATTGGCCTCCGCTCTTACGGAGGACGTGCAATGTATTTAGATTTTGAGAAGCAAGTGTGGGAAAAACTGAAGGAGCAGCCTTTCTCCAGTTCACTATCTTCAGAGGAAAAGGTTTGATGTGATGGTCTTTAATATCTACCTGTGGCCAACACTGGGCTCAGTTTAGACCAAATCCCAGCCCCCTGCCCCGCCACCCCCCACCACCCCTCCCGGCTATTTAGATAAGTAAAATGGCCTCAAATCGTGAGCGTATTTGGGCCACCCAGTTATGAGTTTCCAGTCCCAGTGGTGGGAGTGCTTGAAGTTTAAGATAAGTAGGACTTGAAATGTTAGTGTTTTCCTTTACTCTGATGGCATCATGTCTGGACTGCGTTCTCGATTGATTGAAGATACAAAGTATCACATTTATGGCTGTTATTTGTAGGCACAGATCTCGTTGCAGTTACTAGAAAGGTCTAAGGAAACTGAATTTGGCATAAGGAAGTTAAGTGAAATTGCTTTAGCCAGTTTTCTACTCCAAACACTATGTTCCTTCCCTAGGGATAGGGGCCCTTCACAGCACTACATCCCGAAACACAGCATTTTCATTTTTCATTTTTAAGGTGAGTCCTTATGCTGCCTACCTGCACGATGCAGTCCTGCTTTATGCCTTGTCCGTGAAAGAAATGTTAAAAGAGGGGAAAGATATCCGTGATGGAAAAGCACTTGTCACCATTTTGAAAGGCTACAATAAAACCCGTTTGTATGGTAAGCTGCTGGGGAAAGTTTCCCAATCATATGTAAATGATTTAGGCAATGAAAAAATACTCTGAAGGTGTGTCTATGCTGCATTTGGAGGCATCATTGAAGTTCTGTGTGGGCAAGCTAGTGTAGGCATACTTAAGCCAGTTTTAATTTAGCTATCTTGGGTACCAGTAGCACAGCTCCAGCACAGCTTAGCTACTTCAGTCAGTATTTGGGGTCCCAGCTGACATGTTTAGTTCATGCTTGAAGCTTTTTCCATGGCAATTTTATTGCTTTTAGTACCCAAGTGTTGCTAGATTAATGCTAATTCAGGTATGTCTTCACACCCTTCAGTCACAAGCTCCAAATGCAATCTAAATGTGGCTCTAGGAGGAAGATTTCCTTGATTTCCATTGTGCAGTGTACAAATTAACTTCTTTGTGCAAATTACTTGCTTTTAAACCACACTATAATGCTAATTGTAGAACTCTTGCAAAGGTATATAGAATGTAGAGGTAAATGTTGCTCTGTTATGATAGTATAAGTGCGGATATATGCATCGATGCTGCTCTTCCACACATTACAATTCAAGGGCAATCCCTGGAGAATGCTAAGCATTTCCCCCCCTACCTGGGTAGCCACCTTACCCAAAAAGTAAATAAAGATGATAATATTCAACACCAAGTAAAATCTTCCATGCTGCCTTTCAACATCTTGAAAACCATGTCTTCAGAGAACATGATCAGCAGGAGTCAAACCACACTTCCCTACCTTGTTGTATGGGTGTGAAACGGACAACATCTTGGAAGCACCTTGAATTTTTGGAACGTGGCCTCCGCTGATGTCTTCATAAAATGCTCCATATCAAGTGGAAAGACAGAAGAACAAATGATCTAGTCATAACATGTTGGCATTCTGGCTTAACTTAGTCAAGAAAGTCAGAGATAATATGCTGCTATTTCTGCAATAGTGGCTATTTGACTCTAACCATTCGCTTTTCTTATGCGTTAGCAAGACGTCAGAAAATAGCAAGTCAGAGTGCCACTTAAAAATACAGTTTTAATGCTATTTGAGGTGGGCTTGCAAAATTAACTTTGAAAAATTTTAGCTAGGGATGGTCAAAATATTGAAGGGGGGAACCTTTAAAAGTTTTCTCTGAATATTTTCTATTTATTTTATTTTAAAATTTCAACAATATCTTGAAATTTAAGACAGAGTGAGTTGTTGTACCTCTCCCAGCCTTCCCTTCAGCAGAGAAGTGCCTGGTGGGAGGTTGATGTGTTGATGGAGGTCCAGAAGGGAAAAGGCACTGATCTAAATAGCCAATAGGCGGTGTAAGCCACAAATTAAGGGGACATATAAAAGCTGTCTGGCCTGGGTAGTGACATTCATTCTGCATCGAGCAAAATCAACTGATTTTAGTTTACTGTCCTGGATTGGTCCAAAAGTAGGCAAGCACTTCCCTTTAACTACTAGCACCAAGGAGTCAGTTGGTTGGAAATTTAAAACTCTCTAGGAAAAACAAAAGTTGTCTACTTTCAGTGGCAAACCAGTATTCAGTCTGGCAGGGGAAATACCATGATCACCACGGTGGTTTCCCCAGGGACGGGGGATAACCACCTTTCTGGCATGGGGTAGCACCCGTGGAGATAATGTATAGTTACTCTTCCACATTCATTGCCCGTGTGAAGATTTTGGTTTTACGCCCACTTAATGGAAATGCAAGACTCCTCCCTAGCTTGCTTCTGCCGCTGTATGGCTGAGGCTGAGCCAAACCTGGGGGCATCCAAACCCCAAGCCTCTGGGCTTGGGCCCGCATGTAGGATGCCCACCAAATGATTTGGAAACATCTAAAGCCCCAGGTGGGGGTGGAGGATGTTTGCTGATTGTAGGGCCACATACAGTTCTTGAATGACTCACAGATTTGGAACTGATTTGGCTTACAACACGAATATTTTTGCATTAAAAAAAAAAAAAATCCGTCCATTGTCAAATCAATGTAGGTATGATGGGGATAAGGTTCCAAGTGCATTAAAATGGCTCTGAAGCTAGAAATATTACTCTCACCTTTTAAACATAAGTGATTAAAAAAAAAAAAAAGAATTTTACCCACTCTCTTACTCAGCTGTCTGCTGCTCTTATGTCCTGAAAAATATCAGTCCATCTAATCTCCATTATTAGCAAGTTTTCCTCATGGTATTTAAGCACTTCAAGGAAGGAAAGAATCCAGATTTACAGTAACTCCATCAGTTGAGTCTGATTTGTTTTCAGGAGGTTCAGGAGAAAGGTCCCTCTAGAAGGCAAATAGAACTACACCTGAGCCAAAAGTGGCCAGACATGCTGAGCTGGGGATATGACTACATTTGTCTTTCCAGGGGTTACTGGCCTGGTGTATATCGATGAATCAGGTGAGCGGTGCATGGATTACTCTGTCTACAATCTGCAGAAAGCTGGGAACTCATCACGTTTTATTCCTGTCCTTAATTATGATGGCAATAGAAAAACAATCAGGTACTGTAGTGATGATACGGTAATGAAAATGACTCATGGGTGATGAAATTTGCCTTTGTGGCACTGAAGTTGTGTTTAACTCCTCCAAAAAGGCTTATGCGGTGTGCCGTCCTAGACAAACTATGCAAAGGATTGAATTTCACCCCCAGTGATCATATCTGCCTACTGGCTGATGCAAACCCATCCATTTCCAAGACTCCTGCTTTACAACGCAGATTTCTGCAATGATCACTGCAAATATAACTTTGCAGAGCTCAACAGTAGCAAATAAGTTGCAGCACGGCTCTATTTATGGTGCACGTAGCATATTTAACTGAGCTATTTTATGATCTCTTATTGAACTAATGACATTGGCTTCTTTACTACAGTGTTGGCATTCCCCAAGTTAGTTACATATACGTGAATACATACAAAATCCAGGGTTGCCTGCAAAATCCATGGGGAAAAAACAAAACTTCATAAAAAGCTTTTATTAAGTCTTCCCTTCCTCAGCGTGTCTTGCAGCGCACCTAGGAGGAGAATGTGCCGGCTGGTGGGGCAATGGACAAGATAGTGTCTGCCCCTCCTTCCTCCCCTTTCCCCCGCCCCCCAGGGCTTCTCCACCAATCAGCGATGAGGGGCGCAGCTGGATGACAGGCAGCCAGTAGTCAAGAAAAAATGACTGTTTTGCCATGAGTTAAGTAGGTCCCTAGTTATCAGCTACCAGAGTGTGTGAAACAAGGGTCCTTGTTCCCACATGGGGTATGTCTGGTACATGCCTTTTTTACTATGGAAAACACGATTAATATAAACTTTTTTAATACAAGCAGAAGAAACATCGCTTGAAGTGATAGTTCTGCTGATGGGGAATGCTTGCTGGTCTTAAATAAATTAAACAGATGGCTGACTGGCGTGTTCAGGATTTGAGCCTGTTAGTGAGTATTTTGGGGGGTCTTTTTGGAAAAGGCAATATAACCTTCCCTCCCACCCCACCCCCTGATAAACAAGCTTTTCATGAAAAATCTCGATTTTGAAAAATATTTTGAAGGGTCTTTTTAAATGATTCATTTTACCCGTAGTTTTCCCTTTACTTTCTGACTTTTTCCCCCTCAATATTTGCCAGCTGGAAAACATTAACAAAGTTGAGAGCTCACTCTGAAGGTGTTACTTCCAACACTTCGGTTGCTTTCCAGGTGGGAAACTATAAGTCAATTTTGGAAAGTAGCAGCAAAACCCTACTTTTTCAGATCTTTTTGTTGTTTAAGACCCTAACATTTGCAAATGTGTTATAAATGAGTAAACTGTAGATTCTCACCACTTTTCCCTTTTCTTTTCCTTGTTCTCCTACAATTATAAAAAAATTGGGCTGGAGGGGACCCCCTGCTTAAGGCAAAATAATCCCAAGCCATTCCAAACAAGTGCTTGTCTAACCTGCTTTTAAAAATGTCCAGAGATAGGAGATTTTACAACCTTTCTAGGTGATCTGTTCCAATGTGTAACCACTCTCACAGTGAGAAAGTTCTGCCTAATGGTCAACCTAAATTTCCTTTGTTGCAATTTAAAACAGTTACTCCTGGCCCTGAAGCCAGCAGCAATGGAGAATAGTCTATCATTATCCCTTTTCTAACCACCATTTTAGGTATTTGAAGATGGTTATTAGGTTCCCTCTCAATCTTCTTTTCTCCAGACTAAAAAAACCCAGTTCTCCTAACCTTTTTTCATTCATTATGTTTCCGAGTCCTCTTTCATTTCTGTTGCTCTGTGCTGGACTCTAATTTTCCCACCTCTTTCTTGAAGTGCAGTGACCAGAACTGGACACAATACTCTGCATGACGCCTCGCTGGTGCCAGAAGTTTAAAAAAAAAACAAAAAACATTAAAAAACCCCCCCCCCCCCCCCCCCCCAAAACTTCCTTTTCAGAAAACCCCAAAACATAACTATATATTTGGTGTTGGGTTTTAGAAACAAACGATGATTGTTGTTCTATTCCCTTTAAAAATAAAGTTTAATTTGTAAATCCCTAAAGTCAAACTTTTTTTTTAACGAAGCATTTCAAATGTTCATTTTGGGGGTGAAAATTTCTTTTGGGTACAGGAAATTTTATTTTCTGGCCAGCTATGGAATTGGTAAGTTTTAGACATTTTGATAGTTTTGTTTATTTTGGTGGAAAATAAAATAAAAGCCAAGGAGAATTAACAGCAGAATCGGTCAATTATATCTGTGTGTCTCCATCTACAGCCCAACAGAGGAAATTGCCAACATCAGCTGGCTGGATAATTATCCTCCTAAAGACAGACCAGACTGTGGATTTTATAACGAACAGTGCAAAACTTCAGTTACAAGTGAGCATGCTCATACACAGCAAGATTAGCACTTTCAGGCAAGTTGGAAGGGGAGAGAGACACAAAATATTTTGCTCTTCTTTAGCCTCTTTTATTCAAAGATCTGAAAGCTTTTTTTCAAACCCCCGTTAGTGAAAGCTAACAATAATGCAGAATGACTGTATTAAATTGCCCACTGTGTACCCATTTTACAAGAAAATGAAGGCATGGAGAAGCATTGCTACAAGGCTGAGATATTGGAAAACAGCAAATAGTTGTTGCTATTTTTTTAAATATCAATTGTGCACCTAAATAAGTGGCTGAAAGCAGCTTAGGTTGATACCCAGGATTTTAGGATCGGGCTACATATAGTCTAGGTTCTTGAGTTTAGATGCCAGTTTTTGAAAACACAAGTCAGAGTTGTCCAAGATTGTCTGTTGACTGTTGAAGTTTTTTCATTTGGGGGTTTTCAACCTGATTTTCATTTGGGGGTTTTCAACCTGATAGGCTGATTTTCAGACGTGCTGAGCACAAAGGTGCAGACATTATTAGCAGCGATTATACAGTTTTCCTAAAATCTATATAGGATGGAAATGCTATGATGGCACTACATCACCTAAGGATCCTCAAAGGACTATTTAAACTAGTGTTACATTTCCTTTGTGGTGCAAAGGAGTTGAGGATCCAGTAGATCACAGTGAAGCCAAACGACAATGTGACCCTAAAATGATCAGCATGGTGGTGTCATCAAGGTATTTCTCTACCTCCTTGCACTTGGTACCATATTTTTGAACAGATGTGCCAGTGATTGTTCTGATTGCTGTCCTGCTGGTAACAACCTCAGGAGCTGCCAGCACTGTGGTGTTTCTAAAGATCCAGAAAGGGAAGCTAGAAAAGCAAGTGGATGACATCTGGTGGAAAATCAACTATGATGATATCGTTGTCCTTGGAGATCAGAAGGTAAACTAGGATTTGTACAAGTTGCAATCCACAAGATGTTGTCATCCTCAGTGATTTCCCATGCTTTTCACGCACTTATAAACATCTACATATTAGAGCTGTGATCCAGCAAAACACTCAAGCGACCCTTAACTTTAAGTACTTTTGATCCCACTGAAACCCAGGAGCCTACTGGCATGCTGGAATGTTTTTTTGCTATGTTGGCCACTAAGGCCTATACCATATGTTACACTTAAGATGTGGTTAATCAGTTAGTAACCAGTTAATTACATCTTAAATTGTAACCCAGCCACCCTTTCAATCAATTAATAGTGTCATAAAACAAGGAATAAGCCACATTATTCCACCAAAAATGTGAAATAATAACTTTGTGCCTGGTTCCTATCACACTATTCGCTGAACATGGGGCCAGGTGAGCCCCTGTGCCTGGGAATCCTGTTAGCCGATGGGGCTCTCAGCCATTGGAGAGCACCAGTTGCTCCAGTGGCTGGGAGTCCCATCAGCTGATGGGGGCCCCTGGATTACCTGCAGGCTGCCAGCTACAAGGATGTACCATGTGCATCTGCAGCTGCAAGCCCAGGTCATGGTGCACCCCCATAGTGGGAGCCCTGTCAGTTGAGGGGTCTCCCAGCCATGGGAGCTTGCTACTTGCCAGTGCAGAGGGAGCCCAAGTTTGGGATTCTGGGTTTTCCCTGCACAAGCAATAAGGCGTGATGGGATCTGTCATGTAATCCCCCAGTCATGCCTCTCTCCATGCATCTGCTGCACAGCAGGAAGTGGGGTCGCGTGGATCTCATATCAGATTGCATCCCACCTTAACCCGCACATCTGGCAGGGACCTAAGGAATTAATGGGTCAAACTCTGCTCCTGGTTCCACTCTTGTATATTGGCATTAGTTCCATTGAAATCAATGGGGATTAAAGATGTTCATCCTCCAGAAATAAATGTCCAGTACCTCTCAATACACAATCCTTATATTGTGACTGATGTGAACAGTGTTTCCCTGTTGGTGTTATGTCAGATCTATTTTTTTCCTCAAAGGACTTTGAAAACATTTTCCAAACTAATGAATTAGACCCATAGAGACTTAGAGAAGTCAGGCTGCAAGGGACTTTCAGAAGTCATCTACGGGTTTCTAAGCAGCCCCTTGCCTGAGGCCGGATCATCTCTATCCAAACCATCCCATACAACCAAAATCTAAACTCTGCATAAGACTACCCTCCACCTTGAGGCAGCATAGACTATTAAATTGAATTAAATTAAAGTCACTGCTTGGCAGACGGACACGGCAAAAGTTCTAGTTTAGCCTTAAATTCTCTTGGAGATTGCCTGTGCAAGAACTATGTCAGAAGGTGAACCTACACTTGCAGCCTTAATAGAATATACTTTTTTTTTTTTTTAGACACGGGCTTAGAAGTGAAGGCCAGGGCCACACAATTCCCCGTTAATACATCAGATGTGCTACCTTGTCTCTCTGTATTCTGTCTTTACCAGTTCTGGTGCACACTGCAGGGAGCCTGTTAATGGGGTTCATGCTCATCTGCATGTCTTTGTCAATATGACCAAGTCTCAGGCTTTCTAAAATTTAACTAAGCTATTATTGCATTTTTAAAAGCATTGTGTCTCTGGCTTCCTCTCTTTAAGAGTCATTTTGTAGTATCGCAAACAAGCACACCAATGCCTAGAACAGAGGAAAGCGCTGAGTCCAGCTTGATTTTTTCAAGGAATCAGCCCTCAGTTTTGAAGGATAGGAAAGAAGTCGTTTATATAACAAGAGGTCTTTACCAGGTACGTCAGTAGATTAGATGGGCTCCGATACGTGTGCATTCTCCTGTCGTATGTTGAATTTGATTGTGCCCTTTCTGGTTTCCTTTGCGAGGGTGGAGAGAGCTGTACAGGGGAACAGGTCTTAAAATTCTGAATAAAAAACCCACAAAAGTTCTCCGCTGCACTGTCTGGACTGCAATTTTGTGGTTTGCTAAGGTCTCTGGTACACATGCTGCACCATGTTGTCAAAAATGAAAGATTGTAGAACTGAAGTTATAAATGTTATACATTTTTACAGAGGGAGCCATGTTTTTTAAGCATCTAATTGGCCTTCCAAAAACATGCCATATTTCTTTAGTTGTAAATCACTGCTTATATTGGAGCCGTTGACTATTCATTCGTTCATTGACTATTCATTCATTCCTGCCTGTGGCAGGGGGTCAGGCTAGATGATCTGTTCAGGTCCCTCCTGACCCTAGCTACTATGAAACTATGACTATATCACACAGCATTATACTCAGGGTAACATCTCCATTCATACATTATATGACTCCCAGAGAGCTGTTTTGAAAAATAGGCCCATATCTGTATGTAGTACAATAAGGTAGCATGTTATACAAAGAAATCTAAATTAAACCCACTTCTTCTCCCTACATTCTCTGATGCTTGTATTGGTAGGTCTTTGACTGATGGCACAGGCAAGGATCCTGTTACCTATTTTAGCTAAAAGAAGCCTTAAGTTTCTCAGAGCCTGCTCTATTTTCAGATAGCTGCCTGCTTTTCATGCAGATTTCTTCCAAGCAGTCTGTGTAAAAGTTAATGTATACTGGATTCTACCTCTCTGAATATTTGTTCCAGGGAATTCTTGTTGCACTCAAATACATTGATAACCAGACAGATGCCTGGGTTAAGAACCAGTCAGTCCTTCATGAGGTTCAATTGGTAAGGTTCAATCTCACTATGATCCTCCTTTAGCATATAGCAATTAAATGCTGATTTTGTTGCCGATATATTGTAGGTGCTGCTGAACTGGGCAGCTGATTTGATTGGATTGTCTTCAGTAAATTGAAAATCCTAAAACCCTGTGATTCAGAAGGTGACCTGGAGTCATCTAGTCCAACCCCATGGACTAAACCAAGATGCACTATTCCTAAACCATCCCTCTTAAATGTTTATCTGGCCTTTTTTTGAAATGCAGGATATGCTACAACTTCCCCGGGCAGTTTGCTCCATTAGTTTTTTGTGGGTTTTTTGGGGGGGTGGGGGGTGTTGTTTTGTTTGTTTTATGCTTGCTTTCTTCTAGGCCTGGGAACAAGCATATTCCTGACATATAGTGCAATAGTGCCTCATTTTTCCCTATACCTATCTTCCCAAAACAATGTAAATCCTTCAGTGTTGATCTCCCAGCCCATGGGAGTGATCTTACCAAGTTTCCGTAATGCCAATTAAGTCTTAGTTTTCTTTGCATGCTATGACTTTCAGTTCATCCTGTTTGTTCCCCGTGCACCTTATATTTATATACATCATATTTTGATGGTGCTGAACTTGAGAGAAGACTAGATTCTTCTTAGGGTTAATTAATGCAAAACATTTTGGTTCTGGAAACTTCTGCATCAGAAAGCATGCACATGTAATTTAACTGCCATGTGATAAAAGGAATAGGGATTTCTTGCATGCCAGCTGCTCTCTAGTAATTGCTCATATGATGCCTCTACCCTATAGCAGATGAAATCTCAGCTATTAGGACTCTTTCATTTCTCTGGTTCAGAAATACAGCGTGTGCCTACACGAGACGCTGAACTTTGCATTAGCATAGTTTACTGCGAAACAAGCATGTGCGTCTACATGCGCACATGTTTACTTCATAGTAAACCTCCCTAACACCGAGTAAATTTGGTACCTGAAAATGCAAATAGCAAATTTACTCAGCATTAGTAATGGCACCGTAGCACTCGTGTAGGTGCAAAATCTGACTCCTAGTGAGAACTTTGTCCCCTTGCCCCAGCAGCAGGGAACTCCAAGCCCCCTGCCCCCAGATCATGATCAAGAAGTGGGGGGCTGGGAGAAAAGTGTCTCCCAGCCCCAGCCCCATGACTGCAAAGCTTGGGCTGGGAGATCCTTATCTCCCAGCCCAAGACCACAGAGGTTGGGCTGGGAGATAAGAGACTCCCAGCCCGAGCCCGTGAGCATGGAGCTTGCACTGAGAGATGAGCATCTCTCAGCAGCGGCCCCGTGGTCCTGGAGCTGGCACTGAGAGCTCCCTGCTGGTGGGGGCTGGGGAGCATGTTCCTCACCCAGCTCCACAAGCACAAAGCTGGGGAGGTACAGGCTCCCCAGCCCCTGCCCCGTGTGCCCGTGTGGGAACTATGTCCCCCTACCCCAGCAGCAGGGAGCTTCCAGCCCCGACTCCCTGATCCTGATCGTGGAGCTCCCCAGCCCCCACTCCACAATTTCATTTGCAGTTGTTGCTGGGAGCTCCCTGCATAGGGACTGTTCCCTGCCCAGCCTGAAGCTGGCTGAGACCTGCCCCAGACTGGGAAAGTTCCCAGCCAGACCCAGGCTGCGCAAGAAATCACATGCAGCCTGGAGGTGGGTGGGGACTGTCCTGTTTCGGGCAGTCCCTAGCCAGCTCTGGGCTGCACATGCAAACTTTCCCATGCAGCATCGGGTTGGCCGGGAACTGTCTCGGTCAGGGGCAGGTCCCAGCCCTGTGCCCTGCTTGGGTGATTGAGGCACAGCGCTTGGAAAGAGCTACAGGGGGGAGGTAGGTCCCAGCCCCCTGCCCCGATCCACCAGTGGGGCAGCTACCAGCCCAAGCTCGCTGCTAGCTGCCCTACCAATAGATCGGGGCAAGGCACTCAGGGCTGGGACCTGTCCTATTCCTGCAGCTCTTTCCAAGCCCATGCCCCTGACTGGGGAGCCCTTGGGGCCAGGAGCTCCCTGCTGTAGTGGCAGATGAACATTATCCCCTGCCCTGTAGCAGGCAGCCTCCCTGCCACAATCCAGGGCCAGGAGAGCTGTCTCCTGGCCCACTGCTCCCTATCAGCCCCTGGGCTTGCACCCAAGTGGTGCCTGGAGCTCCCTCCAGTGGCAGCAAGGGCCCATTGAAGGGCTGCAGAGAACTGGATGCAAATCTTCATCCTAATCCCTGCGTGTGTAGACACCTACCCAAACCCCCTTACTTTGCAGTAGTTTACTGCACAGTCTAAGCTGGAATAAATGCACCTGTAGACATGCTCACAGTGTACTTTCATAGGTCTGGAGTATCAGGTTTTCAGTATGAATATTGAGAATCAAAGTTGCAATAGCACTTTAGTTTCCACTTAGGCCACTAACTACCAGTCTTTTGAAAGTGCCCAGCATCCAGCATCTGATATCTTCGGAAAATCTGGCTACGATGGAGTATTAAGCCACTATGTTTTATCTTTTGCTTACCACGAGGTAAGTGTTCATGTGTGCCATTACCTGGCCCAGCTGACATACAAGGAATCCTTCCCCTCTTTCTAATATAAACTAGTTCATGTACCCAGACCCAGAAAAATATTTACAAATAGAGAAACAGTAACAGAAGCCCTCCCTTGACTGACTTTTGAGGAAAGATCTCTGAGTTGGACTGTAATATTGGTTTTAATGTTGAGTAATATTTACTCCACAGTTATCCAACTGATTTCAGTAGGGATATATTGTAACCACGCTTGGTGACTGTGACGCCCCTGGTGGCCACACAACCCTTACCCGGCTGCAGCTCTGTGGTGCCTCCCCTTCCTACTCGCTGGCCATGCCTTGATGTAATTATTTGATTAGAAGGGAGCAACCTAATCAGTAGGGCGATGCAAAGCTTCGGGCACTGATTCAATTTGGCCCGATTCAGTGGCCTTATCTCCGATTTCAATTGAATCAGGAGACCCTTTAATCTCTCCGAATCAAATCGGAACCCTCCAAATCAGTTCGGAGAGATTCGGAAAGAATCAGACATTGACGATTCAGACATAGACACAGTTTTATGTTTTTTCTACATGCCTCAAGGTACCAGGCGGCTCATGATTGCTGAAATGCTGGGGCAGATGGAGCGTCCCACAGGAGTGTGAGGGGGTCCCCAGCGTGCTCAGCAGCAGACTCAGAAGTGAACCAGAAGCACTTCCAGTCCGCTTCCAGGTCTGCTAGGGAGCATGTGGGGAGGGCCCCTGTGCCCCCCTTGCTCAGCGACTGGTCTTGGGGGGCACCCAGGGTCCCCCTGCGGCTGATAGCTGAGCTGGGGAGGAGTGGGGGGGGGCGGGGGCTGCGTGCTTGGTGGTGGACCCGGAAGTGGACCAGAAGTACTTCCAGTCCACTTCCAGGTTTGCCACTGAGCACGCAGGGGGTGTCTCCACACTCCTGTGGGACGCTCCATGCACTCCAGCATCACAGTGATCACGAGCTGCACCTGGTACCTCGAGGTATGTAAAAAAAGACATTTAAATTTGTGTCTATTGCCGAATCACTGTTTCTCTGAATCAGCATCGAATCTTCAGATTTGGATTGTGCCAAATTAAATCGGGGACTGATCCAACAAATCAAATCACTGTCCCTGATTCGGGCTGAATCCAAATCAAATGCAGCCCGTTTTGCACACCCCTACTAATCAGTACTACAGTGAGCTCCAGTACCTCCAGATGCCAGCTAGTTCACCCAGAGCACCTGTTTGCCTTAAGGGCTAACCACAGCCTCTGACCTGCCTGACAGCCATGTCTATGCCTTGCAGTATTACCAGTTAACGAGCTCAGTGTGCACTTGGCCCCAACCTGGTAGTAGGCCACTTAAGACCCCTTGTCAGGGTCTCAGCCTTGCTGGTTCCCTTACCCTAGGCCTGCTGTGCCAGGCCTGGCTTTTGGATTCTAGTCCTTGACTGCCTTATCCAGCTTTCTCTTTGTCCTGTCCTGGGCAATACACTTGCTGAGCCTGCTTAGCCTCCTGGGCTCTTATCTCTTTTCTTTTTGTGCGCGGGGCTCCCCTCACCCTGACCCTGCCCTTTCTGGGTACTGGCCTCCATGGCCCTTACCCAGCTCTTGCCCAAGCTAGGTTTCAGCCTTTCTTTCTTTCTCTCTCTGGGTTTTAAACTCCCCCTCGGGCCTAAATTCTGAATCAAAGCCCCTAGCAGGGCTCTAAATGCTGCCATGCCCTTGACACACTGCTGTGGGCTAAACCCCCAGGCACCCCTGCCGTGGCCTCCTCTCATTCCCTTTTCAGCCCTTCCCAAACCACCAGTTGATGCTGTAACCAAGAGTAAGCCTTCAAAATGCAAACAACCCCTCCTCTGGCCACATCCACATGTGATGTGGACATTCGGTTCCCTGGGAACAACTAGCAGTGGTGCACCTTGTGCCGCCGCCACTTGTCTCCGGGGAATGCCCATGCCACGCGCGCTCTGGTGTGCGGCAGTTTACCCCAGACGTGGTACAGGAGGCTGGGGCCAGCACTGGGCTCGCCTCAGCAGCCTTACCCGGGGTCCTGGGGACCTCCTGGGGCTGTAGCAGTGGCGATCCTGCCATATGGAGCCCAGCTGGGGAGCCTGCCCATCCCATGTGTGTGCTGCTCTGCTTTTTTTCTCTGGATATCCACGGGTCAAAAAGACAGTCCACAAGGCTCCATTGCAGTGCAGAGAACAACAGAATGGGCGGTATGTGGCACCACAAATATATCTGCAGCACCACATACTGCATGGCTGCGCTTGTATGGACACAGCCTCTGAGTCCAAAAATAGCCAACGGCTACCTGCCTGCATAGCAAGGCTTCCCCTTACCCCAGGTACTATTCCCATGTGGGGCATCAGCACTATGTTCACTTCCCTTCAAGACAACTCCAGTGCCCGGTAGGAGAGCTCCTGCATTCCCCTTGCTCAGGAGCTCTTGCCTCAGCATCCTCCAGGGCCAGATTGACCCTCCTGGCTCAATATATACCGCCCTGGCCCTGCCTCCTGCTATTCAGGTGCCTCCCTGAGCTGCCACAGGTGTTTCCTGATGCAGCTTGCTGGTTCAGCCCTAGGGTGACATACTGCTGCTGGTTTCTTCTATGCTCCTATCTTGTCTCCCGTGCAAGGCTCTAGCAGTGCTACTGAAGCACAGCTAGTTCTGTGATAAGTGCTTGCATCAGGCAACTCCCCGAATACCTGTCCTCTAGCAGCTCATCATGAATAGCTTTCCCTGACTGAGGTTCTCTCTGTTGCTCTTCCACCCTTAAAATAACAGGAGCCTTTGGCTCTCCCTTACAGATGTCTGGTGTATTCAACATAAATAAGAGTCTTAGAATCTGGCCCCAAAAGTTAATTATTCATATTGCTAAGATAAACGAGGGAATAACAGTTGATAGTATTTTGAAGGTATTTATATATATTATTGGTCTTTATACGTTAAGGCAGGAGATGAATTATGTCAGATATTTAGAGGTATTGTAGGAGTATGAAGTGAGAAAGATATTACACCAAAGTAACGGGGAACTGTGGCCATCCAACTGTGGAATAGACAGGTGTAGGGATGTCAAATATTAGGCATTGAATGAAGACATAAATAAATTGTAGGAACGTTCCCGAACTAGCCAGTTTTGGTTTATTTAATGGTTTTTCTTTTGGTTCTATCTTGTAAGATTTTCATAAGATACCAGAATTAAGAAACCCACTGAAGGTGCTCCTGTCATCTAAACACAATGAATTGACAGAAACTGATTTACTTTCAGATGCGTGAGCTGAGACATGAGAATCTGGTGACTTTCTTTGGCATATGCACTGAGGCTCCAAATATTTGTATTGTTACCCAGTACTGCAAGAAAGGAAGCCTACAGGTAAAGCCTCCAGCATTGTTTGCAACAACAACAGACTTAGTTTTTGCTACTTTAAGAGAGTTGGCAAAAGAGCTCTTTGGAGCTCTTTTCCGGTCAGGTAGGGTATGATTTTTTTCCTTTTGTTTGCTAACCATTTTTGCTACCTTCTGTTTTTTAGTTGACATGAAGGCTTTCTTGGCATCTAATTGCTAGGACTTAGAATCCCCATACATCTCTTCTTGTTCCTACGTCATCGTTGCTTTAGCATTGCCTTGTTTTTATCTGCCTCCTTTCTTGTAAGTAATGGAATGGAAAGAGAGAACAGGACTCTGCAGAATAATTTAAATACCACTGCTGTTATCAACAAAAGGGTGGATGCATAGAGATAATGCACCATAGAGGCAGTGAATATTAGACAAATCTTTACTCAGCGTCTTGTCTTATAAACTCAAAAACATTCATGCAAATTGAATCAATTTTGGAACTTGCATTTGCTGGACACTAGCATGTGGATGATGTCACCAAAAATTGATCATTTGGAAACCAAATATATAAGTGTTAAGGGAAAATGACTGGGAGAAGGACACCCCATGGGAAGACTAGGTCCAACAGTCACAAACTCTTGGAAGACCGTTTTAGGCTGGACATAAGGGAAAATATCTTTATTGTCTGAGTCTCCAGGGCCTGGAATAAACTCCTCCCAAGGGTGGTGCAAGCACCTACTCTGGATTCCTTTCAGAAACACTTGGATGCCTATCTTGCTGGGCAGACAAGGTTCTTTGGGTGAATCTGGTATTTATCTTGCTGGGATAATTTAATCCCTTGCTGATTGACTGCCTTTTGGGTTTATGCACTGAGACTCCAAATATTTGTATTGTTACCCACTACTGCAAGAAAGGAAGCCTACAGGTAAAGCCTACGGCATTGTTTGCAACAACAACAGACCTAGTTTTTGCTTCTCAATTCTCTGCACTCAAAATGAGTTTAAGACTTTTTAGTGTTATAGGCTAAACCTTCCTTTCCACAGAGTTGCTATCAGAAGATTTTGGCAGTGCCTGCAGTGATATTCCAAAGTACTTCTATTTTTTTAAATAAGGCTACATCAATTTATTAGCCAGTTTGATACATTAAAGTAATATCCAATTTTCAATGAATCAGTAAATAGGATCTAATTTCACCTTTAATTCGTTAATCTCAGCTGGTAGCAAGTGGTCCTGATTCACTGCTCAACACCTCTGTCAATCACTGATCTAAACAGAGTCACTCCTGATGTTGCATTGACATGAACGCCATGGGAGAGAGGAGTCGGGTCCTACCTCTCTTTTTAGTTACATTATCTGGTATTTACCCATCCAGCCTGACACTTGAAAAGAAGTTTTATTGCATCCCAGCCTGTTGAGTCATTCAAAGATAATGTTTCTGTTTTTTCAGGATGTTTTGAGGAACTCTGATATTGAATTGGATTGGATATTCAAACTCTCTTTTGCCTATGATATAGCCAATGTGAGTATAATGTTAAGTTCTTTTCTAGTAGAAAGACTTATCACAAAAGCCAACAGGAACATTAAAGTACTCTTTTTTATTTGAGTGTTTTGGAGACATTGGTGAAAATAGTACACTATACCAGTAGTCAGGCTTTCATTTGCCTGGATATGCACCAATGGGAGTGCTGTGAGATCTGATAGGGTTTCAAGAATAATTATTAGATCAGTATATATTTTATTGTCACAGCCTTAACATGAGGATTTAGTTGCAGTCTCTTGTGCTGATAACATGAAAAAGCAAAAGATGGAAAAGCGGGGGGGAAAGCCCCAAATTTTAAGACTTTTAAAACAGAAAGCTTTTTGAGACAAGTTCTCCTGCGTTGGGTACTCTTTACAGCCATTAGCACAGTGGTTCTCAATGATTTTAAACTTAAGGCACCCCTTTGTAATTTTTAGGATTTGAGTGGCACCCCATTAAAAAAATTATTTTATTAGAGTGCTTACCTTCTTGCACAGGGGTTGGTCAGTGGGGGCAGGAGAGTGGTCAGGAAAGGAAAGCCTAAGCCTGCCCTTATTTGCTTATCTCCTTACACTTCCTGTGGCACTCTCCAAGGATCTTGCGGCACCCCTGGTTATCCCGGCACCCTGACTGAGAATCACTGCCCTAACACAATGGAGGTCACACCTGACTGAGTGCTATAAGCTCTGTTGCAAAATGAACAATTATAATAACCATGGGCAACTGGTGCCTCCTGAGTCTTGGGGGGCACCCCAGCGTTGGGCACGGGGCTGGCAAGCATCTGCAGATGGTGCCAGTGGCATTGGTGGTGGGGACGGGGCTGGCGAGCACCTGCAGATGCCACCAGAGGTAGTGGTGGCCAGGACAGCCCTGTCAGGGGGGACACATGCCCCCTCACCAGTTGCATATGTAATAAACTATACCTCCTGTTTTAACATTTTTCTCTCTTTAGGAAGAGATTGCTTTCCAAGGCAAGAGTATTTCATTTAGAATAGTTTAGATGATATTAGATAGTAGAGGGCTATGTAGAAAGAATCAGTGTTGGGTGGCATGCTTAGCCATCTTGATTTTCTTAGTACAGTCTGATTTTGGCATGTGGTGGTTAAAGCAAAATTGGAATGTGAGAGGGTATGTTTGGGGGGCTGGCAGGAGAGAGAGAGAGAAAGAATTAGCAAATTCTTAAAAAAGGTAATTTCTACTACTTGATACTTGTTCAGTTACAGAAAGACGTTAGTATTTAGGCCCAGGGTTCACATGGTCATTTTTGTAACATGGCTTTATTCACTTGGCTTTGGCAAAATCTCTGTCTGTTTGGTGGCAGCACAATGGTCGCTGTTGATTGTCAAGTGGGCAGGAAGGGAGAGGTCCACATCTAAACGAGCAGAATTTACTATCTGAACTTCTCAGTTCTGTAAATTTTCTTTTTCAGTAAGGAATCAGTTGGTAAGAAAAGTTTAAATTGATTAGTTTATATGATAACCATTTGTGAAGGGCCTCACTCTGGCTGGGGCTCCCTCGAGTTAGAAATTGAGAAAACATACAATTGAGTCCTTTTCCTGAAGAGTTTATAGTCTAATATCTTAGTTCAGTGATTGGGGGACAAACCTAGCACTTTGGAAAATGTATTCCCCTGCCATAGACCTTTCTGTATGACCAAACGCTGTCACTTAGTCTTTCTCTACTTTTCTTCTCTTCTGATCTGTAAAATAGGGAAAAATAGTTCTTCCCTATTTCACAGGGCTATTGAGGTTGAATAAGGTGTAGATTGTGAGGTGCCCACATACTACTGCAGTGGATGACCCGTAAATACTGATGAGATCTACACAAATAAGTCTCAATCCTGCAAGCTGTTCCACAGTGGGGTACTTTTCTACTTTAAAAATGAGGCATTTGCCTGTGGAATAGCTTCTAGGATTGGGGCCCATCCTAAGAACAGGTGCCGTGAGTGAACAGGACAACCAAATGGAGCAGGAGTGAGAGAGAGGACAATGATAGGAAAATATGGCCACACAGACAAAATGTGGGCATAGCTGGCAGACTTTATTGGGTTTGGGCAGGGAAAGAATCACAAGGACATATTAAGCAACATATACACAATGATCTTTTCGAACAAAAGCCTTGATATTTCGTCAGATCAAAACAGGGCTAAGGGCAGGTTATATTTTGTAGTTCTTGAAGTCTCAACCAAAACTGTATTCTTCTGTTCAGCCCAAGAGATTTCAGTCTTCCATATACCTGGTGCTAGGACAGCAGCCATTGTAACTTGTGTTCTCTTAGCCATTGCAAATTCTAGTATAATGTTTCTATTTTTGTAGGGAATGCTATTTATTCACAGCAGCCCACTGAACTCGCATGGAAACCTGAAACCTTCCAATTGTTTGGTGGATAATGGCATGCAAGTGAAGCTGTGTGGATTTGGGTTGTGGAAATTTAAGTATGGAAAGAAATGCCAAGTAATCACTGAGAAAACCACCAAATATGATGGTAAGAGAATTATACGAGAATTACAAACGTAGGGGGTGTTCCAAAACAAAAGGATGAATTGACTACATAAGCAGAAGCTTTCCTTAATAATGGTCTTCAAGCACATTTTTATCTGCAGGACGTCATTGGATAGCATGTATTTCAAACCTGCTTTAGAACTTGCCCAGATCTCTTTATCCTGGTGATGCTGCATGTCAGTGAGCCAAGAGATGTCAGCAAATTGTTTATTTGGTCAATTTTTGCCTGTTGTTCATGAATCGGTACCAAGCAGCTGATATGATTTTCAACAACTGATTTGTTGCTCGAAAATGTTTGATGCATAATTTTGGTGAATAATTCTTGTTTGGTACCCCAGGTATGGATTAAGTCGTAAGTACTAGTTACACGATTACACGAGAACCTCTTTTATCTTCAGTGTGTTCCTAAATTGTCAACAATAGAATTTGGTGAGAGAGAGAGTAAGTTTCTATTCTTCATGGTTGCACAGAAAAGCTTGAAATCATGAACCCAGTGCAACCAATGTAGTGGTGATTGCCTGAGTCTGCTGATGGCCTGATACAGTAGCTCTGAGGAATGTTAACTGCTCCTTGCAGCTCAATGGAGTGTTAACTCCTAGGTCCCCTGCTGAGAAGGGCCAAGGACAATCTACCCAAAACTGTGTGTGGGCCTAATCTACCTGTCCCCTCAAATGCACCCAACTGCTGGAAAAGCCCAGGGACCATCATTCTATTCCCCACCCCTGTTGATACCAGAGTCCCCTCTTGACTCTCTTGGGGGCAAGGAAAAAGGCTTTACTACTCTCTACATTGCTACCAGAGGGATATTGTGAACACATATATGAGTACTTGCAAGCCACAATGAAAGCCTCAGAGGAGGCCACTGGAAAGCATTGCAAAAGCACAACGTGTCCTATAATATGTTGTAGGGGATTTTGAAATGCTGACTAACTGGTCTGTTTTTGTAAAGAACCGCAGTGAGGTTGATGCACCTTGAACACAGTCTGTCCTGCTGTTTCCTGTGTTGCCTTGTAGAGCTCTACTGGACAGCTCCAGAACTTCTCAGGCTTCAGGAGTATCCATTCCAGGGGACCCAAAAGGGGGATGTCTACAGTTTTGCTATAATTATGAAAGAGCTGATTAATAACAATGAGGATGGCCCTTTCCACGACCTGGACCAGGAAGCAGAAGGTATAACTTGAACAATAGTTCCATGCTGATTTCCTAGCTCTACCTTAATTCCTGATCACTCTTTTTCATTGCTTCCAGTGAAAGACGTTTCATCATGTTTCAAATATAGCAGTGATCTTGTGATCCCTAACCCCTTAGGATCCTTGCAGCATATTACTTACAGGAAAATCTTGCTTTATTGTTTGACCTTCTTTTTATTTGAGTAAATTCAATATGTTCTATTTTTGTTGAGGATCCCCTTTTTATCCATCTTTTCTTGGAAAGTATCCTCTTTTATCCATCTTTTCTTGGAAAGTATCCTCTTTTATTCATCTTCTCTTGGAAAGTAACTGTATTTGGAAGTTTTCGGGTCAAGGAGGAGGCCAAACCTTTATATGCAAAGAATTAAATTGTGATACTTAAGTGAAGTGGGGAAGGAGTTGCCTCTGTGGGCACATTTTTCTCCCAGAGTTTCAAGGAGTTAAATGATCTCACCTGTGGGATGTTGCTGCCATGTCTGATGCCGGTCAGCTCTTCAGAACGCATGGCAGGAGCAGACCTTTGTCCTCCCTCGTGTGATTATCTTTGGTGTGTAGGGAACAAAAAAAGATACTTCTCTCTTCCCTTCCCACCTTCTCCTATATTAAGGGCAAGGGCTATGTGGTCCAAAGAATGGGACATGTTAAAAACAAAATAAATAATGGACTAAAAAATCCTGAAACATTATCATTGCTGTATTTAGAGATCATCAGTAGAATCAAGGATCCTTGTACACACTTCCCTCTGCGGCCTTCTCTCTCAAGGGAGAAATGCAGTGAAAGTATCATCTCAATAGTGAGAGCTTGTTGGGATGAAAACCCAGAGAGAAGACCAACATTTTCCTCTGTGAAAAGATTGTTAAGAGAAGCAAGCCCTGAAGGGTGAGTTATTCTTACTCATGTAAGAGTGATACCATATATCTCTTTTATCCAATAAGACCCAAGTGTTTCATAGACTACAGTCTGGAAGAATTGTTTGCTCACCATTGAAATTCAGCTGCTTCAGGTGGGAAGCAGCAGCTATTTAATAGCATACTTTAGGACAGGCGGTTGAGAGCATTAATATCTAGTTCAAACCATGAAGGGAGGCAAGGCAATGTATAAAAAGTAAACCTGAAATCTAATCCCTTCTTAGAAAGAAGAGAACTTATAGTTGTTTCAGGCTTGGCATCTGCCTTAGACCTCTCCCTGCCAAATTTCTGTTTTTATTTTCTGTATATTAAGCATTTTTCTTTCTTTTACTGCTGCATGAAGGACTTGCACAGGAGAAATGATTAAACTAATTATGTGTAAAAAACAAACAAACAAACAAACAAACCCTAAAAAATTAAAAAGCTAGAGGATTATTGTCTTTAATCTTTCTCAGTTATGGCACTTGTAGGTGTTTGCCACTGATAAGTATGCTAAACAACTCAGACAAAACTATAGTGAAGTTTTAAGTAGCTATCATGTAATTATCCAGAACGACAAATTGTAAGGGAGGTTAGGTTCTCATATATTGATGGCATTTCAATTTTAGCATTTCGGTAGTATTTTCCAGCAGCAATGCATTTTCCTAAATTATTCTAGGTCGTTGCTTCAGTTCATTCAACATTTCCAATATCGTACATATATTCTCTAAGGCTTTCACTTATCCAAGTACTTATGTGATCAAACCATGCTTAAACAGAGAACAGATGAAATGGGTCACAGCAGAGAAGAGCCAAGTAATCAGCACTCCTTTCCCCCAGTTAAATCTAGCAGAGTGAGGGAATTTACAGTCCTCTGAAGGAAATGGAAGTGAAATACAGTATGTGTCAATAGTCTGTGTCACTTAGTAGAATGCTCTAAGTAAAAATAATCTGCTTGAACACTTCCATAAGCCATGTCAGTATCTTGGATAACATGGTGAATAAACTGGAAAAGTATGCCAATCGCTTGGAGGAAGTCGTGGAAGAAAGGACAAACCAGCTGATGGCAGAGAAGAGAAAGACGGACAAACTATTGTCATCACTGTTGCCTAGGTAATTAAACATCTCCAGTGTGTTTCCTAAATTGTCAACAATAGAATTTGGTGAGAGAGCGAACCATGCACGTAGAGGCTTCCTCAAAGTGCTAGTGTAACACATGCTGACTATACACTGTTTTATATAGCTGAAAGTGGCAATCATTATGTGCTTAACTATCGTTCACACTCACAGCAGAGGTCTTATCCTGTTGAATGGCTTAGGCTCTGATACGAATGAAACTATAATTGTAGGATAAGAAAAGGTTGGGAAGGGACCTCCTGGGACATTGAGTCCAATTCTTTGCTATTATGGACACCATGCCATATAAGCCCTTTAACACCTTTACTGGAATTCATATTTGAAGTATTTTTTTAATGTCCCCAGTGCCCCTTTTGGAAGGCTGTTCCACAACCTCACTATTCTCATGGTTGATAACCCCCAGCCTAAATTTATCACTGTCCATTCATACCCAATTTTCTTGAGCCAACTGCCTTTTATCTTAAATAACTTTTCACCCTGCACTCTTCAACTGCTTTTAATTTGTTAATTATTAACCACTATATGCAATAGTGCCTTGTAGACCCAGTTATAGCCTGGGACTCTATTGGGCAAGGAGAAGTAGAACCATATATATATATATAAAAAGATGGTGCTCACCCCAAAGAACATATGGTTGGAAACCAGAAATAATGGGTAGGTAGAAGAGAAAGGCAGGGGGAGCAGGGGGAATTAATGAAGCTATACTGTTCAGCCAATGGCCTCAGTAAACTGGCTCTTTTTACTCCTCAACAAGTTTTTGTTACGTTGCTTTGAGAACGCTCTTCTAGAGCGTGGAAGCTGGAGTAACATCCCAGCTGCATGTGTTTTAAGGAAACCTTGGAAATGCTTTAAACAGTCTCTTCAGCATACTTCCAAATATTTTTATGGTGAGGTGGTAAGAGAGAAAAGACACGAAGGAAACGATAATTTTTCTTTCTTTTTCTAGTTTCATTGGAGAGCAGCTCATTGCTGGGAAATCAGTGGAGCCAGAGAGTTTTGATTCTGTGACCATCTGCTTCTCGGACATTGTTGGGTTCACCAACTTGTGTTCTCTTAGCTCCCCCCTGCAAGTGGTCAGTCTTTTGAATGACCTGTACAGCCTGTTTGATAACATTACTAAGACATACGATGTGTACAAGGTGAGGCACCTAGCTTCCTGTTCGTTAGACAGAGAAAGGGCACTGATCCAGCCGCACTGAGTTTGCTGAGCCTCCATTTAAGTCAGTGGGAGCTTATGAAGGTAGAATCAGGCCACCTGTTTGTAACTACTTGGGGGAAAGTGCTCTTTAGTCAAAATTCATTAAAATGAGTTGAAGTATGCCAATGACTGGATGATTGCAGGGCACCATGAATAGAAGTGCACATGCTCAGGCTAGGTGTAGACATTGAGGGAGGTTAGATCATGGCCACCTGATCTAACTTAGTTTGCCCAGGTGTGGACCATATACTTAGATCCCTAGTTCGGTCAATCTAAGTGTGAACTGTATAGAAGTTCAGGAAGGTTAGATCGGTCTTCAAATGGCTGACCTGATCTAATTTAACTTGACCTCAGAGGTAGTCTAATTAGATCAGGTCCAGTGAGACCGATCTAACTGAACTTCTGTACGCGTTCCCTGCACAGCCCTGGGGCTGGAAAAGCCCAGCCATTGGCTCCAGCCCCAGGACAGCACTTTTTTTACTCGCCCCTGGCACTGGGTTATTTTTAGCCTTCTGGCCTCTTGCTCCATCCCTAGATGGACAACCCACCCCCACTCACCCAAGCCTGCTAAACCTGTCACCCTGTAAGCCTTTCCCAATGGTGGTGGTACCAGCGTTTGCTGGTGCCAAAAGCTGAGGAGGCAAATTGGGGTGAGGGGAGGAACAGGTGGGATGGTGGGATTGGTTCACTAGAGGGGGGGTTGTTAACCTGGGGGTGGGGAGAGTCAGGGAGCTAAAAATAGCTCCTGGTTCTGGGGTGGGGAAGGGGAACTTCCCCCATCTTGCTAAAAACCCCCATGGAGCTGCCACCCCTGTGATGCACCTGCTCTTCCCCCTACCCCAACTCACTCCCAGCAGTGAAGCTCCTGGGACTGGTGAATGCCAGTAAAACTGCCCCAGGAGTAGTTTTCAGGATTGGGGGCAGTTTGGTGGCATTGTGGGGTAGGGGTCTGAGGGGATTTGGCAGGTTTAGAGAACCTCTCTGATCCTTTTAACCCCTACCTCAATCCCTCCAGGTCTCCCTGTAGACCCTGCTTGCCCTCCTGATCCCACCAAACCCTCCCAGACCACAGCCACCCCTTGCAAACCCCACTAGCCTCCCTCCCCAACCTCCCATGTACCCAACAACCCCCATGGATCCTGCTTGTTGCAATTGGGATTTGATCCTCTATCCCACAATCGCATTTCCTCCTATGCACATGGCATGGCAGGAGGCGCAATTGTTGGGATTACCAATCATATCCCATCGTGCCTTTAACCGAGCGTCTGTCAGCAGCCTAATCTTGGGGAATATTTGCTATGGGTGCTTAAGCTGATTGATTCATTGATTTCTCATTGTTCCAGGTTGAAACCATTGGAGATGCCTATATGGTTGCCAGCGGCCTCCCCATCCGCAATGGGATCAAGCACGTTGAGGAAATTGCTACATTGTCTTTGCACTTCCTCAGTGCAATGATCCCTTTCAAGATAGGGCACATGCCCGGAGAGAAGCTGAAGCTCCGCATTGGCCTTAACACTGGTAAATAATGTGAGACTAGTCTGGTTTTGAAACCTAGATTTGCTCTCCTAGTTTTCTTGTTCAGTAGAAATTAAGCTACTTATCCACATTTTGTGTTTGGCTCAATGGATCAATTATCCTCAGGATGGGCAAGGTGTCAAGTTACATTCAGATCAAATTTTGAGGGGGGTGAGGAGGGAACCTGATTATTTCAGTCTTATTTCAACAAAATTTCCCTTGACTCACGTCACATGTTTATCCATTATTAAACTGAACACCAAAACTTCGTTCTTTCTTGCATCTATGGAGTTAAATGCTTACTTCATTCAGGGGTGTAGGTTGTAGCCGTGTTGGTCTAAGGACATAGGCAGACAAGCTGCAGACCAACTACAGAAACTTCTTTAGCCTGACCCAAAAGCTTGCTTAATAATTGTTTTTCAACTATTTAAGTTGTTCTAATAAAAGATATTAGATTCACCCAAAGAACCTTGTCTGCCTACTTCATTCAGGGGTATAGGTTGTAGCCGTGTTGGACATAGGGACAAGGTTCTTTGGGTAAATCTGATATCTTTTATTAGACCAACTCAAATAGTTGGACAAAATCTTCTGTGCAAGCTTTCGGGTACAAATACCCTTTGTCAGGCTAAGGAAGCATCTGCAGTTGGTGTGTGCGCTCTTCCTGGATGCAATGAATAGTAAAGAAGCCAGAGACTGGTCTGCATGCAAGTAAAGCAGTCAGCAAAGAAGTAAATTGAGGACTCAGTGGGTGAGAGACAGGTTGGGAGAGTGTGGGGGGATAAATGTAGCTGGTTAATATTGGAGAGGTACTTAGGGAGTTGTTCTAATAAAAGATATCAGATTTACCCAAAGGACCTTGTCTGCCTACTTGATTTAAGCACATTCAGGTGGTCACAGCATGGGACAAAGTCGGTGATTACGCATTCTGTTTCCACCTCTGTCATGAAAGAGCCAACTTCTGAGCCTAACTTCCTAATATAAAGGAGGCAATAATATGCTGACCTCACAAGGCTGTTGGGAAGATTTATTACTGTTTCTAAAATACTCTGAGATTGTAGGTTTGAAAGGTGCTTTAGCTGTAGAATGCAAAGCTAGAAATGCTTCCAGATACCGTTATTGATACTTGTACATTGAAGGCGTTATATTGAGATTGTGCAATGGTAACAGTAATTTTGGGGCTCTGCTTTAGTACTCAATTAAATGATGCCTATGTTCCCATTCAGTGCTTCCTATTTGCTCATGGTAAATATTGGCATAGCTTTGTTTCTGTGCTGAGCGATGACTTTGTGGAGAAGCAAATTGCACTGGAATACCTGCAATACTTTTCAGGAATTCATTCCAGTGACAGGACTCAAAGTAAGGCTTGACACATAGTGAAGAGATAGTGCAGACTGAATATAACATTGACTCCTACATTTAGGCCACCAGCTAAAAAGATACTCTTGGAGTCAGACGGGCCTAATGATAAATGAATGATCTGTTTTTAATAAATGAGGCCAGCGTTACATGCCAGAAGAATCTGGGTCTTTTTGGATATTGCGCGCGTTTTGGGATGGGAAGACTCTGGTGTTGTTTTTATGGCAGGATAAGTGATCTGCTGGATGGAAGGTCCTGCAGAGATGCGCGTGCACATGAAAGCAGCCTGATTTGCTGCTGTGTGTGATTTTATTAGTTTGTGTTTGATTACAGTATGACAATGAGACATTGCATGGGAGGGCAAGACAAGTTTAGCTCATTCACACACAAGGAGTATAGCTGAGAATAGGAGCACGGTCAAGTCTGGATGGGAAGCAACGAAGTGGAGAGTTTCACCAAGCTTATCCCATGACTATGCCAGAAGCCCAGTTGCAATGAGAGGGGATTTCTCCTTCCCCATGCTGTGTCTGCTACCCACAGCCGGCCTCACACATAGTCCTCTGTGGTCTTTCTGTAACTTTCTGTGAAACTGCTAGTTCTGATCACTGTTGGACTCGGGCTATTCTCCTGGGTAGTCTGGTCCAGTGTAGCAATACCAATCATCCTTTTTGGGGGGATGGTTCAGTGACAACAGTAAACATTACAAGCCAAGAGGTGGTGGGAGAGGGATGGAGATAATTGTTGGAGTAATCTGATGTGCATCAAATTTTCAGAAGCTCTCCTACTAATGCAGCTAAGCTACAATATTTGGCTCATTAAAAGTCATTTCTTACAGTTCTGCTGGCTGTTAGGGGTTATTTCCCACTTTCAGAGCTGGAGAAAGTTATGAACTGCCTGAGTCAACAGAGAGAGTCAGTTCAAAACTGGCTCACCATTGAGATTTCCACACCTTTGCACCTGAGCTCTGGTCTGGCTCTGGGACTTTGGCACTTTCTGCAGTAAAATGATCCTTCCATTCGGGATGGATTTGGATTAAATCCAATTGACTTGAATCGTGATTTAAATCATGATTTAAATCACTGGTCACCGAGCCTCGATTCAATCGTTGCATTCTACAAAAAGTACTTTCTTGTTGTTTGATATATCCTTAATACATATTATTCAGAACTCTAAAACTATCTTCATATAGGTTTATTTTTTTTAAAAAGCATCTTAACAACAAAAAAAAGAATATGATTCAATACAAATCATCTGATTTAAATGAAAAAAATCCATTTTTTAAAATGGTTCATTTTTTATCCACCCTGCTTCCATTCCTACAGAGGGCTTCCGGCACAATCCAGAATGGTCTCCAATTCATTAACCTCCTGATTTGCTCTTTCCTTTGCCCTTTAGGCCCAGTTGTTGCAGGAGTGGTGGGAATCACAATGCCACGGTACTGCCTGTTTGGAGACACTGTTAATATGGCCTCAAGGATGGAAAGTACCAGTTTGCGTAGGTAGCATTTATGTTGGTTTTGTATTTGGGATGCACAGGAGACTTAACCTTCAACGGGGCATTGTTTTGCTCGGCTCACTGCTAACTGATATTTGTTAACTGTTTCATAATCAGGTAAATTGAACCCGGTGGGTTTTTTCCCCCTGTGATCATCGTTTTCCAACAAAGGGTGGTCCAGGGAGGTAATGTGTAACATTTCACAAAGAGTAAGAAACCCCGTAAAGAATGACTATGCAAATATGCATGTGTATTGGCTTCAGACCAATGCTGTTCAGTGTCATTGCCCTATGTGGCTAATAAAGATCTCCTTTATATTGCAATATGCTAGCTTTTTTTTTTTTTCTCTGCTGTTGTCATGAAGCTCAGAATGGCCATGTTGTGCAACACAATGAAGGCTGACATAGCCACAGATGTTACAGTCACTAATATTCAAAGAGAAAAATACAGGTTTCACTTTGGTGCCTGTATGCTTTCCCCATGGAGAGGATTGCTCTGAAGTGTTTTCATTTGAAATGGGGTCAAGTCAAACCCCACATCCTGTTTATAATTCCTATTGAAGAAAGGAAGAGTCAGCACAAAAGGAAAATACAGCCCTCCAGTAGAAAAATACTGGGGTTTGAAACAAGTTGGAGATTTACCTGTAACCGTTTCATCTCCTGTTTTACTCCCGACAGCCTATACACCTATATGTAGTAATTAAACAGATCTGTTTTGCTGTAGCTTTTCGAATCCATGTGTCCATGACCACTGCTAATGCCCTGCAATCCATTGGAGGTTACAACTTGCAAGGAAGAGGCACCATAAAAGTAAAGGTACAAATATCAAGAATGTAGTATACGAATGCAGCATGCGAGGTGGGCTTCGATCTAATGCACTAGACATTATCTGAATAACTCTGTAAGGATGTTTACTGTGGGAAGATGAATGTTTTCCTGAATATGAACTAAGATGAGCAGCAATGCCCTGGTTTAAATACACATGAACAAATCTGATATGGATGTTTAATACTAGGGCAGTGGTGCTCAAGCTTCTGGGGCCCGGATGAGTAGCAAGGGGCCAGTCTGCACACTGGACCCAGCTCATGGGCTTGGTGCACTGGGTCGGTCCACAGGTGCAGTCAGCATGCAGCTCAGCCCTGTGCGCTGGCCTGAATCCATACATGGCTTAATCTTGTGCACTGGATCCAGCCATTTGCCAGCTCAAACCCATGCGCCAGATCTGGCCATGTGACAGCCTGACCCTACATGTTGGGCAGTTGTATAGCTAGTGGTGAGTGAAAAGGGCCCCGGTCCCAGTTGCCAAATTAGGAGCGGTGTTGCCCCAGCAGCATACCAATGCTGGAAACTCCAAACCAGTCCCTGGCTGTGCCACTTTGAGAGCAATAGCTGGGGCTGGCAGAGCATGTGCACCAGCAGCAGCAGCTCAGCTGAGACTGTGGAGTTCCCAGCATTGGTAAGACTGCTGCCCCTTCTCTCAGGCCCATGCATGCCCCCCACCCTCCACTCTTGGATCCTGTGCCCCTCTCTCTCTCTCCCACTCTTGGATCCAAAGCCCTCAGCTCCCAGGCTCAGAGCCTGTGCCCTTGCCCCCTGCCCCCACAGGGCACCAACTCTGCTTGTTATTGCATTGACGTTGGCTCAACCACTATGTGGCTATGTGCCAGATCCAGGTATGTGCCAGTCTGGCCCCACCACTTCAGCCCCGCTGCAGGCTGGTGTGATCTAGCATGGAGGGCCATGTCATCTGCCCCATAGGGCCCCCCAAAGGTGTGGAAATTTGGCAGCAAGGGAACTGCAATTAATGCTACTACTACTTCCCCACCACCAAACTTTTGGATTTGTGGGAAGACCCCTAGGCTGGATGACATGGTCTTAGAGGCCCCTATGCTCAGATATAGTCCAGACAGGCTCCATTGTGGTGCACACAGTAACAGCTGCTTCACTCAGGGTAGCATTTGCAAAAATTGGAGGAGAATAGAATTAAGCTTTCCAGAACAAGACAGCCTAAATCTGTGGTGTATTTGGTGTTTTTTCCTTCCAGTGGCTCCAGTGAGCATTAAGAGCTCTCAGAACCTGATGCCAATGGATCCTGTGCCTTTAAAAAAATATTTTTGCATTCTTTGTTAATAATATTACTAATGATAGTTATTTATGCTGCCTGGCCTGCAGCCCTATTATGCCTAAGCACTGTATCAACATAACCAAGAACATGGTCACTACTCCAAAAAAAAAATTACAGTTGATCATATTTTTCCCCACTCTTAAATTCTTTGAATGACTCTACGCTGTTTTTTTCCTACCAGGGCAAAGGGCACCAACAAACCTTTTGGTTAAAAGGGAAATCTGGGTTTAACGTGCCTCTACCAGAGTTCAGTGATAACATGGAAGGCAATTTGCAGGGGCCTTTGCAGGTAAGAGTCCTTAAAAGGCAGGTGGAAAAGTTTAATCTCTGGAGGAGAAGCTCATATTGTGGGTCTTGCTGAGCTTGCTAGATTGGGCATTGCCTCTTGTTGCAGCATAGGAGACTTTGGAGGGATTAACTCTACTCTTTGTGTCAAATCCTCAGCTGGTATAAATCAGCGTGATTCCATTGACTTCAATGCAGTTACTCCCTTCTACACCACCATAAAATCCAGCCTACAGTGTTATCAAGAGAGTGTAACTCCAGTCTGAGTGTTCAGTAGAGGCATAGTAGTCCATTTTCATATTGAATTATAGCTTGGAAGTGACCCACCATGCTAAGATGACGAATGAGATTATACTTTACTAAAGAGTTTCAAGCCACAGTGTTTTCCTTTTTTAAATAGGATTTTTGAATGTATAATAGTAATAATATTATTATCACTTTACTATTTTATTATTATTAATTATTATTTATATTTATTATCATTAATAATGATAAACAAAGCATTATTATTAATATGTATTATTAATAATGATAGTAATAATAATAATAATAATAACAACAACAACAAAACCTGTGTGAAACTTCCTCTCATTCCAGATTCTCTGTGGGTCTGCAAAACCTTCAACACGATCTGCGTTGCTGTAAGGAACATTGCAAAACGAAAAAATCCCACAGAAATGTCTTCTAAGGGGTACCTTTTTAGAATATGAAATGATCTGGAATGACTTAAATCCATCTATCTACTCTAAACCCAGCCTAGAATAATCTGCCTAAGACTCTCCATAGTAGTCTATAAAAGCAAAAAACAAGTGTTTAGATCGGATACCATCGTCTCTCAAGTCAACATGGCATATTCTGCTTGTTACTTTAACCGAGGTTCTAGGAGGTTTCACATTAAGTTATTTAACCGTGTTAGCTCCTTTCATCTGATACTTTAAACCTGAATAGACTAATAGTACCCTGAGTGAAGGATAGAATCTGAAAACTGTGAATACACTGCATGTAGTATCATCTATGGTCCTCAGCAATGAATAAATGTGCCAGGGAGTTTCAGTAGGATGGTGCCTTTGATGTTTTAATAGAGTAACTGCAGTGATTTCTCTCCCTGTCATTAGTTGAGTGTCATGTTCCTGTGTTTTATGTGGTAGATTAACACTGGAATGGTAAGGTAAGTTACTTTTCTTGCAATATGACAAACAGAATATGATGTCACAACTATGTCAGTATGTAAAGGTCTCAGTCAGGCTACGATTCACTGCCTTAAGCCCTGTGCAAGCACATCATTCACAGCAGCTCCTGCACTAAAGGAGTCAGTTCAAAACGAGATGCAACAGGACTTGGACACACGCAGCCTGGATGGGAGGAGGAAGGAAAAACAGAGGAAGGGAAAACATAATTGATTGCTACGGCATCAGTCACAATAATCTCAAAGATGAAATGGAAAAAAGGTGAATACATGAAATGCCGGTTTGTAAAGGACAATACTAATGTGGGTAGTAACCGAGATTCAGGGAGTGACTGTATGCTTATAAAAGAATGAGAAAAGAAGAGAGAGATTTAAGCAAATGGAGAGAGCATTAGAAGGAAGATAGAGCCTCATGCTTCAGGGTGGAAGTGTAGCCTCTGACTACTGCAAATTAACATTAAAATGTCATACAGTGTTTATCTCAGTGGCACACTGTGGGAATATTGGCACCTCTCTCTGAAGGATTGGGACTGCTGGAAACAGGCTTGTGATACAGTGATTCTTTTGTTTTTATTTCTATCGTGTTCTGGCTGTATCACATGCATAGATGTATGTAAACCGGGCACCTCGATTAATGGAGACCAATAAAGAAATAAACATACCAAGCATGTTCCTTTCAGTCTCCTTTATCACAGATTCAGAAAAAATTGATAGAAAAAGAGCTATTAGATCATCCATTCCACCTCCTTCCACAATGCAGGATTGTCCCCTACTGGACCTTTCTATGGATTTTAAATGTCCAAAGCACAGGACCTTGCATCGCTTTTCACTGAAGAACGACTCCAGAAACGCATCTGACTCTCAGGGAAAGATCATGTCTCCCTCTAGCAGTGGTTGATCAGTACCTTCCAGATACTGTTTGTCTAAAGTCGATCATTTTGTCACTACTATTAACAACAATTTATATAGCACCATTGAACTGAAATCAGGCCCCATTGTACTGGACACATGTATAGTCAGTCCCTGCCCCATTTTTAATTCTTGTCTAGTCCAAGTGGTAAGGATTGATTATTTCGGTGCAACTGGTCTTGCATTTGATCCCTGCTGGTAATTAGCAAATCTATATGTATGCAGCCATGGTAGATTACGTATATCTACTGGTTTATTGAAGCATTTGTAGTAGTTAATGCAGTTCCATGGATGAGTTAATGCAATATTTCTGATTTCACAAGGGCAATAGGGGAGGACATATCTTGTGTAGCTCTTGGTAGGTAGGGTGTACAAGATAGCTACGGGCTTGATCCTATCAGGGCTGAACACTCTGCTTTGATCCAGTGAAGCCCTTAATCAGATGGGTATCCCTGTTGACTTCATTTGGGCCAATCTTGAACTTAAAGTCAAGCATGGATTTAAGAGTTTTTTTGGGCTGGGCTGAAACATTCAGAATCTTGCAGGATCTAAAATGAAATGGGGAGGCCTGTAGTACACAGTAGGGCTAAAATGGAGCATAATTCGCTTCATTTTTTCAGGGAAGGGGGGAGTGAGGTTGGTGAAATGTGAAGTGAATGTATCCCTGTGTATATGTGTTGCTTTGTGCTACCACAGTTCAAAGGGGAGAATCCAACAGCATATATAAGTGCTCACCTTTGACTTTTATCAAACAGCTGCAAAGGTTGAGGAAAGAAAAATCAGCATCATTATTCCCCGCTATTACAGAAACAAAAATCAAGGCACGCATCATTTACTTTTCCTGTAATATGATGCAGTTTCTTTTTATCTGAGTAAAATAAACATCTTTTTAGTAGTAAAGTGTAGTTCCAAACAGGGACGTTAGGTAGTGCTGCGGGGCAGTGTTTTATAGTAGAACAGCACACATCCCAATCATGAAGATTAGGTGAAAGAGAATATCTGCAAGTGAATCACAAAGAGAAGTAGTAAGTACTTGGCTGAAACTTCCAGCTGCCTTTTAAATTCTGTTCAGGTTTTTATCCTATGCCCGTCACCATGGTATCTGTGCTCCCTAAAGCGACTCTGTCAATGTGTCAGCTTTAACAGATAAACTCTGAAAGAGGTTTTGCAAGTCCTACTGCATATACAAATGCTTTCCTGGTGTTTATTTTAATGTGATGAAATCACAGTTTTGCTTCCCTGTTTATTTTTGGAAATCCTAACAGAGCAGCATCAATCTTATTTGCATGCGCTAGAGAGTGTAATGGACAATTAACAGTGAAGTGTAACAGCCTACTTTCATTGTCCAAGAGGAGTGAAGTCCTGCAAAAGTAAGTAGAGCACACACATACTGAGAAATAAAATGTGATTTAGAAACATTTCATTTGTGGTAATCCCACTTGCTATTAGTAGCAGAGTTTACAAGGACATTTTTTTTATGCTGACAGAGTCACTTCAGATACAATTTGGGATGGTTATTGTTGGCGTCTATTTTGTCCCTTACCTGAGAGGTGGCTAAGGCTGGATAAACCTTTACCTGTGTAAAATAAGAAGAGAGATCATTTGAACTGGCATGTTCAAAATAAGGCAAAATATACCAGTGTGACTAGAAACAGGCTGAAAAACACCAGGCAGGCATTTGAGCCATTTGGGGTTAATATATTTTCTCTTGTGACATCTCTTTTGTGAACCTGCAGCTGGATGGGGAGGAGCGGGTGGGTGGGTGAATCCTTTCTCTTCTCCATGGTTTCACTTAGGTCAGTAGAAGTGTGCAAATAGGGATACATTCACTGACATCACTGGACTTACACCAGCATAAGTGAGAGGAGAATTCCCATTTGTACTAATGCCCCTTTGTTTAGCTCCGGAAGCAGGGAGGTCCTGTAGCTGGTGTAGGGATCAGTGGCATGGTAGTGCAAAGGGCTCTTAGCAAAAATGCTAATTTGAACCACATTGTTCAAAGAAACCAGACTGCAAACTTGTTGGATTCTGCAGACCTGCATCTGCCTATTGAGTAGCTCTGGGGCCCTCCTTTAGTAGTGCTAGGCAGAGGAATCCATGGAGTCTTGCTGGAAACGAGAACAGATTTGGGGGAACTGAACTGCATTAGTGTTGGGGCAGGAGGATTCTTGGGGACAGGGTCCCTTGGATCCACAGCTATGCAGCTCCACTAGCCGGAAGGATTCATGGTAAAGACACCTGCGTCCCCTGGCAGAGTTCATCTGCTCTTCCATCTCAGTGGAACTTCCCTGCAAGCACTCTCTAAACTTAGGTTGCCTGTATTTTGCAGGATTATGGTCTGAAAGCCTTTGACAACTTAACCTAAGTAGTGATTTCAGGACTGGTCCTACTCCAGCAAAAACAAATCTTTCCAAAAAGCCAACAAAGTCCACAAACGATTTTTCAAGTACTGCTAATAATCCCCCCTTCTCCATCAACGGACAGGATCCATAAAACTAAAACTGTTTCTAAGCATAATCTTTCCGTTGTCACGCTTCCTGCAAGACAGAGGGGGACTTTTCCGAATAGGAACCGTCTACACTTACTGCGCACGGCCAGTTCCACCACCAACACTCCTCCTGTTTGTTCCATGCGTTGTTTTCGTTTTTCGCACGTCTCAAAAGGACAAAGAAAAAGATGTTTATGAATAAGAGCCTGAATGTCCTTGGCTTCCCTTTTGTTAGAAAATGAATCTCTAGCAATCACTGTGTTTTGCATTTAGAAAAGAAACATGGCAGATTTCAGTTATTTTCTCCACACTTCAGCGGCGGGAGGGAAAAGAAGGAACAATGCTCACTTTGCAAAGAGATGCTTGCTATATATCTGCTGGCAATTTGGGAGTGAGTTCACCTGGACCCAACTGTAGATTTAAAACTGATTTTCAATTTAATATGCGGCTTTCAGGTGGTGAACTGATAGCACTTAAAACCACAGGTTTCCTAACCTACCCTTCCCACAATACCTTATAAGAGTTGGTCCCTATGTATGCTGTCGGTTATTGCCTGGATGATTCGTGGCCGCCAGGGAGTGCTCTGAAGGCACCGAATCCATTCTGTATAAAGGTCCAAATCTGTAGCACGAATGGCTTCTGGCATTGCTGAATCAGTGCAATGCAAAGCAAAGGCTCTTGCTAATGTTTTTGATTTTACAAAAGCTGCACACCGTAACGCTGATTTTAAAAGTGTTATATTGTCTGCAAACCCAGAAATGATAGTGCTTAGGGCAGTCTCCGGGGCACGAGACATTTGAGTATTTCAGTCCCTGCTGAAAGTGTAGAGTGAGAGAGGCTCGCACCAAAATGTTTTAAGTAAGGCATGGTCGATTGGGGAGGGCCTCTTCCTTGTGAGGTGCACAGTGTAGGCTTGAGTCCTTTTGGGTGCGGGAAGGATTTCAAACCAGGACTCAACATTGGAGGTGAAATGCTATGAGTTTTGATGTTTTGGCAGGTTTGGGTCAGATGTCTAAACTTCAACAAAGGGACTTAAAACATGTATTAACATAATTTTCCAAGTCCTGTTTAATGCCTGTGTCACATGACAGCCGCTCCTCCAAATTCATCACTTTGGCTCTAATAAGATCATCTTGGACCCTAATAAGAAGATTGGCATCATGATGTGATAGGGAAGCATCTCTTAGTTGCAAAAAGTTGGATTTATGGACCAGAACTATAAACCCCTCAACACCTTATACTTAAGGTCTTGGATATGAATGAAAAGCCAACAAAGTCCACAAACGATTATTCAAGTACTGCTAATATCCCCCCTTTTCCATCAACGGACAGGATCCATAAAACTAAAACTGTTTCTAAGCATAATCTTGAGCCTACTTAGATGAAGAACTTACCACAGGACAGGAGAACTTTTCACTGTCACATATATGTGTTTCACAGTGCAGCCAAACCTTGGATAGTTTGGGGATATTTCGGAACCGGAAAGCGTTGAACTGGAAGGTGGCCCGGGCAGCTTTCCCATTTTCATGTACTAAAATGGAGTCATCTGTAGGACAGCTGAGTTGCATAGAGAGAAGCAGCATAAAAAAAAAAATAGCTGATCACTCTTGCCTTTTGGCACGGTGCTTTCCACCAACATTGCCATGGCATTTTAGTTATCTGATGGCATAGGCAACAAGAGCCCATTTTGATGGTCATTGGGTCACATTTTGCTCCCAGTCTGTGTATCATGTAAAGTCGCAAGCGAGCTGCTTGGATGTAAGTGAAAGCAGATAGAGATCCTCTTACAGCTACATCAGGCAACCCTCGACTGCAGGAATCAACACTTGCTTTTGGTATCTGACTGATATAATCATGGGGTGATTATACATGCTCTTCCAAAACAGGAAACTAATTACAAACAATTTTCTCTAAACATACACGGGTCCAAGCTGTTTCTGGACCACAACTCCCAGGCTGTTTCATAACCCGTGAGACCACTCTCCAAAGTGCTCTCTCTTTTTTTGCATTATGATAGAGCAGGGGTGGCAAAATACAGGCCATGGGCTGGATCCAGCCCACCAACTGCTTGTATCCGGCCCACCAGTGGACAGCCACAGTGTCGTGGGATCTGGCCTGTGGGCAGCTAGCAGCTCTGGCTCCTGTGTGCTGCTGGGTGGATGGGGCTGTTTCTGCCAGGACAGGCAGGTGGGTGAGGCTGCTTCTGCCCAACGCTGATGTGGTGGCATAAGCTGTGGACCTAGGCAGATGCCCAGTCCCCACCCAGAACCTGCCAGCTGCATCCACAGCTGACGCCGATGCCCGCCTGGGGATGCTTCTGGTGTGCTGGGTGGGTGCTGGCATGAAGTGCAGACTCAGCCGACACGTTCCAGGTTGGGATGGGGATCGGGGCATGCTGCATCTCCGGGTGGGGTGAGTATTGGGGTGTGCTGCAGCTCTGGGCAGCATGGGGATCAGCAGAAGGAGGGAGGGAGAGAGAGAAAGAGAGGTGTGCCCCTTGACTTAGGGAGTTTTGGTGAGCTATTGTGGGACGGGGGCAGTGCTGACCTGGCCTAGCAGGGGCAGGGGGGTGCTGATATAGCCCACAACAACTCACCAAAACTCCCTAAGTGGCTCTCCAGCCCAAATAATTGCGCACCCCTGTGATGGAGGCTAACACGGTCACTCAAAACAAATAACCTAGAAGGACATGACTTAATGGCTAACATCTTCTATTCCAAGAAAACATCCTTTGGCTTGTCTCTCCCTGATTACCTACCCTTTTGTGATCAGCGGCCACTGGATTTGGTAGAAATACTCTGACGTAGGCGTTGCCCAGCAGTTGTTCAGAACTACTTTAAACCTGGGGAGAAATGGAGCAACACCCAGACATCAGCCACAAGCTATCTTATCCATGACCCACCCATATCTTGCTGCCTTTCATACCTGCCACTTAACCCTTTAGCTTCCACTCCAGCAAATACATCTGAACCAATTTCTGAGGTTTCCACAACAAACGGAGCTTCTTTCTTAGTTGAAAACTTGGCATTCTTGGAGAGAGAAAAGTACGGTGGATTAATGGCGTTGCTTAAAAGCAAAAGCATGGGCTAACTCTAATGGTTGCTTTTAATGCAGAGCCAGATGGGTTGGACACCCCTGCTTTAAAGCAGCAGGCTGGAATACATAGCTCAGGTGTGTTCAGACACAGAGCTAGAGTTAGGACTGTGTTGAGGCAAGATTAATCTCCTTTGCCTTCGCAACCACTTTCCCCCATATTGACACAACATAGCAGGCGCTGATGCAACTGAGCTTGTGTCTTGCTGCAGGTTCAGTGTGACCTTTTTTTTGCCAGGAAAGGGCTTTGTCAGCTACATTACATTTGGGTCAAGGAAAAAAAGAGACTTTGCAAAAGAGTTAGTTGCAAAATGAGTTCTGCCAAACTGACCGGGCTTTGGTGCAGATATCCGGGTAAATTCTGTGTCTGTCGCACCCTCAACTGTACTGTTTATCAGGTGGTGCGATCTTAAAACAAAATCTCAATAGAGACAAGCATTAGAAAGAAAAATCCAGTGTACCCTAGAGATCTCAGGGGAGCATTAAGCATCCACTATGCTGTATCTGAGTATATGAGAAGACAGATTGGAAAATTTCAGGAGGGATGAAAGGGAGTCTTCTTAGCAATGCTGGCTGCAGATTTATGCCTGTCTTTGACTAGGGCTACAAACAAGTATGCCTCTTTCTTATGACACCACTAGAAGCTGCTACTGTATTAGAGAAATGAACCCTAAGCGAAGCAGCCTGTATTCTTATGGGAAAATGCCTCCTATAGAAGAGCAAGTGGCATGCATCTATGCTGTTCGTGACCTGTTTACCTCTTCATCTATTAGAAACAAGACCCCTCCAAGTCCCATGTTATCTGTTACATGATGACAGTGTGTTCAGCGGTGTACAACACAAAAAAAAGAAGTGTCCATAGATGTTAAGGCCAGATTTCTTCCCACTTGTGTCAGTTTAAAGATCAAATAAATCCCCTGAGATCAGCAGAGTCACAGCAGCATGAAGATGCTTACTACCTAAACACTGGCGATAAGGAGCACTTACGCTGTAGAAGTTGAGCGATAACTGACTTTCGAATGAGCCGGAGCTCCCATTCTTGACGTGGATTGTTGCCACCCTGGGCAAGGGAAGAAAGAATGTATGAACGACAGAGATCATTGGAAAAGGACCCAGGTACATGCCAAGATGTGAGACTGCTGGGGCAGTAGATAGATTTACCTTTGATCGAAGGCAGCTTGGTTCACCAAGTAGTTTGCGCGGTAAGTGCATGTGAAGGAGTAATTCACAGGCTGGCTCTTCACAATCACGGTCGTGTCGTTGGACACAATGGAATTATAGAAGTGATACAGGGGGCTCTTAAACTGCAGTAGGGGGAACAAACAGAGAAACCCCCCTGCAATGAAAGTGCGGGGCCAACAGGGACTTTGCTCTCTGAAACGGGGAGAGTCAACCCTGTGATGGAAGCGATGCTCAGAAAAACAGTCATAATTCTTCAGGAATCAGAACTCGTGGCGGAAGTGATATCTTTTGCAACCAACTAGATATTTGCAAATTTATTTACAAGCTTTCAGGCACACTCGCCCTTCCTCAGGCATAGAAGAATGCAAAGGTTATAAAATTTCTCCTGCAGTCTTGCTGGGTTTTTGGTTGTAGCCATGCCGGTCTAAGGACATGGGCAGGCAAGGTTTTTTTGGGTAGATGCGATATCTTTTATTAGGCCAACTGAGGAGGTGGAAAAAAGTTCTTTGCATTCTCCTATGCCTGAGGAAGGGTAAGCGCGCCCAATAGCTTGCAAACAAAGAATTTTTTTGCAAATATCTGGTTGGTCTAATAAAAGATATCACCTCTGCCACAAGTTCTGATTTCTTTTGCTTGTAGACCAATACAGCTACAACCAGTATCCCTGAATCATGGTCTTCATAGATTTGTGTGACAGCAGTGCCTCAAGGCACCATTGCACTTGGTGTTGCGTACACATGATAATGAAAAGACTGTCATAATGGCACACGTACAAACTGGAAGAGAGAGGAGATCTAATTCCACAAAGGCAATTGCTATCTTGGCTTTACTAGGGACGCAGAACCATTTGATTCCCCACATAAATACAAATGATTTGTGCAGCTGAAAAGTTCTAAAGTTGTTTTTTTTTTTAATGCCAATTTATACCCTCCCTCTTCCAGGTACAGCCTGAGAGCCCACTGCAGCTAATAGGAATGCTTTCACTGACTTATATGGGATTAGATGTACTCTCCCATGAAAGAAATGTTTATGGTTGATGTACGTACCTCTGATTGGGTCCCACAGTAGGACTTGTTTTTGGGTGATAAATCTGGGATTGTGAATTGGTAGTATCCTGAATCATGGATTCCATTGTAGCAAACACCTCCAAGAGCCAGTTGACTAACCTCCCATCCATAGGGACATTCAGGGATTCTTGTAATGATAGTGTTAGGGTAGCAGTACACCAGAACTGCATCTGAAAGGAAAATAATACAGCCGTACTCAGTTGTATTTCCTAGCGCGAGAGGCTGTGCTAAAATCTGAACTTCTTACAGGAGTGTTTGTGCTGAGAATTTGCATCTTTTTAGCTGAAGCTGGAATCTAATCCAGGTCCGTGGAAGGTTTGCTACTAATATCAGTAGCAGCAGGTTGCAGTACAGGGCTGGGATTTTGAAAGTGCCTATAGGAGCGATGCACTATGTGTATCCATAGGGATTTACCTGGGTAACCCCTATAACCTTTTTGGAAAACCCACATCAAAATCTATTGGAAAATTATAGTAAATTAAACTCTTTGGAGGGAATTGTGGTCTCCACTAGAGTTGATGGCCACGATGTGGCCATATCGCCTTTTGTGCAGGTTTGATGATAAAAATGTTGATCGAAGAGCAATAAAGCTGTGAAGGACAAAAAGGTGAAATATCACAACAGTGAAAATCATCATGCTAGTTTGCATTAGGATAAAGACTGGTTCTTAGCGGATTGAAGCAGTACTGATTTTTCTGAATATAACCTGGGCAAGGCAGCTATTTATAGTGGCTTTAGATCTGGGTCATGCTATTGCTCAAGGTTTTTATAGTGACACTCTGGATGGCGGTAGCTGGGCCAGCAGTATGGCAGCTGCTCTTTTTGCACAACTCCCAACTCGGCACCCAGGACTGGTGCCCCACTTGCCCTTCCCTGCCCTCACCCCCACCTTAGTTGTATTGCTGCTGACTCCTGTTACACTGATATTTGAGTGCCAATGTGATCATGTTTTATTAAATCAAAAGGGAACATGCAAATATGAAACAGATCCCCCACTTTCTTACTAATGATCAATACACAGCACATACCCAAATGTGAAGTAAAGATTGCTATACAAATATTACACACAAGAAAGCTTTAGGGCTATTTTACCTGGTCGTGGCAGGAGAGTGAATCTTATTGAAATAAAATCAGATTTCGTTAACTTGAAGATACAATATTGACTTAAAAGGCAAAGGCCGTTTTAATCACCAGTGGAATGAAAATTGAGATTAGATTACCAGTTACTTATCAGCTCGTTAGACTCAGAAGCAAGGTGTCTTTCCTAGGTTGCTATGACACATGCACAACTTGATCAGATATTCATTCTGTCGAGCCTTGTGGAGTCTCAAGGAATGGATGATTGAAACATTTGAGTGGCCACGTTAATAATAAACCCTCAAGCCCCACAGTCTGATTTTGCCTATAGTTATGCTCTAAATGAGTAAGTAGCTCTGCTGTGTTCAGGAAGATGGTTCGTGTGGATAAAAGTACACGTGTGTGTAAAGGTTTAGGAGCCAAGCCTTTATGATGTGGCTAAAATGAATCAAAACCTCGTAGTAATAATGTAGGGCAATCTATTTTATGACCCAGTGTGAGGTCAGAAATGTGCTGTATTGAGACAGAGATACAATTGGTTATTTATCCATAGGCCAGTTCAACAAACTATTTCATGCTGGTAGTCAGGCTGTAGTCCATGGGACTACTCACAAACTGCTGGTAGGGGAAGCATCCATGCACACAGAATCCAGTAGTATATTATATGACTTCGTAGTTGTTTTTATGTTCAGAACGTGTTATATCCTGATCCTGCAAAGACAGACGTGCATCTATGAGTACCACACTTCTGAGTCTCTCCGGCACTGGGCATTTGTTTGTGCTCTCCTCTTGTCGGTGCTAGCTAACTGTAAAATCAGACCAATACATTCTGGTCAATTTTTTATGTGCAAAAGCCTCTTCATTTCAGTCTGTGAAGGCCGATGTTTCATTTTTACATAAGCAAAAACTCTCAGCTGCTTAATAAATGCACATATCGTAACTACAATTAAATTGAAGCTATTTTACCTGCTTTATTTGGATTGCAAGGTGGTGGTGCGTAGGCTTGATGACTAGCCAGGATGACCAGGAAATAAACGGCTACAATCACCATTTCTTACAAGAAGCTGACTATACTGGTAATAAAAGCAGTTCACCTATCAAAATACAAAAAGAAAAAGGAAAAAAAAAAAGAAATCCAATGCACTCATACAACTGTAGCAACCTTTAACGCTGGGGCAAAGAAAGTACATCGTGATTATAATAATGTCATTATTATTCACTATCTGGCACATCTCCAACAAGAGGTCACATTTACTGACAATTTTTGCCTCTTTTGTCCCACTGCTGACATTTTCATCTCAAGTCTACTAATGCATTTTGTACCATTGCTAGGTTGTTTTACTCCTGCAAAAAATCACAGAGCAAAAGGGCTACAAATATTCGCTTACTGAAATTACAAAAATGGGGAATACAGTACAGACCTAGAAAAACTAAAGCAAGAGAATCGGAAAGAAGGGAGAAGAAAGCTAGGAAGATGCAGAAAATGTAGGTACAAGCTGATATCTAGACTTAACAGCACAATACAGAAACTCTTCTCGTATTTAAGTCCCAAAGTAACGTATACACCCTCGCAAAGTGGTTTTGGTGAAGGATGTGGTTTTTCCTTTAATGTTAGGTGTTGCAAAATAAAAGCATGAATTAATTATAGACTCCTTCAATCACGGGCCTCCAAGCTATTCTAGAAGAGTGCAGGTGTATGCCAACACAGAAAAATGGTAGCATCAAGGCTAAGTTATTTGTAGCTTTTCAGGTTAGGGGCTCTTAGGAAATTCACACAAATTACTTAGTAGATAAAAATGACAAGTGAAAATTAGCCCGTAAGGTGCCTGGTTAGAAGGAAAGTTTTCCTTTGGAACTAGTAGTCCCCAGCACAAATAGTCTGTTTAAACATTTTCATTCAGCCTGGATTTAAAATATATATATATGCTGAACATCTAAGCGATTATTCTTTTTAGAGAGAATCATCCCCTACAAGAAGTTAAAGGAATAATACCTACAAGACAGGAACAGGGTACGTTTCAGACGTTCATTCTCTCTGCCTTATTCCATCAGCTGCGTGTCTGTTCTTCCCAAGATGTCCTCTTTTCAAATGCACCCAGCTGGTATTATCTCCAATTTATATAGGCCATCTTGTAAAAGAAACCCATCTCCAGTTAAATCTCAGTGAGCCAGTATTGTCCAATACAGGAGGGGAAAAAAGGATTGTACAACATAACAGAATAGAAAGTTCAGTCCCTCTAGCGCAGACTAGACATTATGTATGCTATTTGAGTTATTTTTAAAACTTTTTGTATGCTTTCATTCTTCAGAGCTTTTAAAAAAAAAATCCTCAAATAGAATTCTTCTAAAGGTATGTAAATGGTACTGGCTGTATTTTACATTTTAACATGGAAGATAATACAAGGAATTTTTTTAGAGGCAGAATGCCAAGTACACGCTAACTGAGGTCAGGTTGCTTAAAAGTGCATTTACAAATGAATTTGTTTGAATGCAGATAGGGTGAGACTTTCAACTGTGCCTCGGAGAATGAAGTGCCAAGTGTCTTTGTCAGTAAAGAAGAGCCAGGTGCCTATCTCTCCAAGATGATTTTTGAAAGTCCTACCCTTTAATGGTACCCAGATGAACAGTGGAGACAATGTTAGACGGATCATTTGCCATCTTGGGGTTATTTTGTGTTTCAGTAGTTTGTTTTAAATTCATTGTTTCGCACACGTTCATATTGATGTAACCTGGAATATTTGTTCATAGGCAGGACTTGTCCCTATCCCAGAAACAGGCAAAATCCATCCCTTTTCAGGACCCCAGGACAAAGCTTATCTACTCTGCAAGCAGCCAGCTGTGACCGAAAAGATGTGTAGGTAGCGATGTACGTAATCCTTTGATGCAGACATCTAATTGCTACTTCAGGTCCTCAGAGCCCTGGCTTAGCTGCTTTCTGACCCTAATGGTACATACATTTCCTAAGCTGCTAAATGTCCACCAGTATAGCTCCCTAGCTGAAAGAACTAGGGTTATTTAGTCTAGAGAAGATGGGACTGACAGGGAATTTGATAACAGTCTTCAAGTAACTGAAAGGCAATTCTAAGGAGGTTAGAGATGGACTTTGCTCTGTGGGTTTAGGGGCAGGACTAGGAGCAATGGCTTAAACTGCAGCAGAGGAAATTTAGGTTGGGGATTAGGAAGGACTTTGACTATGAGGGTGGTCAGGCATTGGAACAGGCTCCCTAGAGATGTCGTGGATTTTCCATCCCTGGAGATTTCCAAGAGCAAGTTGAACAGACACATGGCTGGGATGGTTTAATCAGGGATGATGCTGCCTTCAGCAGGTGGTTGAGCTAGATGACCTTGTGAGGTCCTTTCTGGACTTTTTTTTCCCTGTGACCCTAATTATCTGTTGCTGAACAAGTGTGCACTACCCAAATCTTGGTTGCATTGAACTACTTGTTGACTAAGCCACAGCAGGATTCACAAGCCAAGAGTCAGGTCCTATAGATATTTTCAGAATATGCTTACTAGTGTGCCTTGTCCAAGGTGATGGTGATGATGCTTTGTGCACCCCCTCATGCAATAGCCCCATGGTTAGAATACACACATGGGAGGAGCCAGGATCAATGCTTTAATGTATAAAGGGATATTTTAATGCATGTTACCTTTTTTTGATTGAACATGATATATTGTGATTGGTGTTACACTTTTTTTAGTCTCATTCCTAAAACAGTCTTCTCACAAGTACTATAAAATGTTTGTACCGCAGGAGAACATGGTGTGAAATGACGTCCAGTGTGATGTGCAGAATACAAGAATGTGAGAATTTGCTCGTAATAATAACTAGTTGGGGAGCCATATCAGTTTATTAGTTTTATGGAGGTCTCCATTGATTTTGTTAGTAACTTACAATTTGAGTGTATTAGATGACTGTTGGTATTTTGAAAAACTGAAATGAAAACATAAAACCAGACCTGACTTCTTACTTCAAACAATAAGCTCTGGCACTAGTTGCAAAAGAACTGCAAAATTAGATTATTATATATTAAACAAGCTCTCCCTTTTGCCATCTGGAGCCCAATCCTGCCAACTCTTATTCATTGGTTTAAATGAGATTACTTGAACATGGTCAGCTATGCAGGCTCAGACCTGTTGATCATAATGCACTTTCAACTAAGTTAAAGAATAATCCATTGTACCAGAGCTCAAAACCCAGATCCAGTTTTAATCTGCAATATCCAAACCCCAACATTTACCTATTTCTTTATCCAAATGCAACTACAATGTATGGTATCCAAGGCTAAGTACAGACGGTCAAAAAGCCGGAGGCTGAATCGATTCAGCTCAGCCCCTGGGGGTACTTTGCATGTTAGTCTAAGCAAGGGAACGCACATTCACTTTTGATTCAGGAATGCAGCCACGTGCCTAAATTGGCCCAGGCCAGAAGCTGGGGGGTGCTAGCACATGCCACCCTTTTTGAGTGGAGCAGACACCTTGGGCCAAAATTAGCCAGCTCACCCTACAAGGGAGGAGTTTGCAGGGGAAATGCAAAGCATCCTGGGATGCTGGGGGACTGTGAGGTACCTTGAACTGGGAGGGTATCTGGGACAGAAGTTCAATAGACCAATTTAACCTAAATCAGTTAAGTTTGATACTACATCCATCCAGGTTTATCTTAAACCAGTTTCGGCCATTTTGAAAGAGGTTTATGTGCGCTGAACTTCTGTTGCGTTACACATTTGACCCAGTTTCTGATCACTTATACCAGTTTATGTGCAATTTCTGTCCCTAGTCCAAAGGTCTGCTCACCGTCTTTTTTTCATAGCTTTTGTAATTCTCTATGCTTCCTAGTTTTGTCTGGGCCTGGGAACGTAAGTGTTGAAACACCACCAGACAAACTGTTCTCAGGGTTCCAGCAGCCCATGTATAACTAGAAACATCCTGTGAGAAAACCTTGCAAGTTGGCCCAAGCCCACGTTGCAACTCAAAGGGAACCACTTCGGACCTGGGAGAAGTGAAGGCAGCTTGATTTCAGTGGAGTTGGACCCACTTGAGGGTTTTATCAGGGGAGGTTCCATGAAGTTTGGACAAACAACTTGTTGGTTGTGGGCATAACATAAACACATGGGAAAATATATAGAAAGAAGCATGTCTATATTTGATTGATCATCTACTGATATTCATCTTAAAAACCATTTAAAACGTGTCTTTAGCTATATCTACAGCTTTTGATTTGAAGCTGGGTAATGGGAAAACAATTGTCTGGTGTAACCCCACTGTCTTTGATGGAACTACACCAGGATGGATTTAGCCCAATCATTTTAGGGAGGAACTAAATCTCTCACAATCTCTTCATAGAAAAGAAGCCTCCAGGTATCTGATACCCCTTTGAGGTGAAAGGTGAAACAGAATGAAACCCATGAAACAAATTGGGCTACAGTTAGGACTGGCCTATAGATGATTGCATTTGCATAAGAAATAAGAACTGCACAAAATGTACTTAGGCCAAATAGTATTTGATACCTGTACTGATAAAGGGTTAGGACTTGGGGGAGGTTTATATTTCTCTGAGTAATTACAAAAAAAAAGGAAGCTCATTAAATAGCAAAGTACACCACTGAGACTCATTGCATTTCCCCCGCACCCTTCCTAGCCCATAGCGAAATCTTAACAATCTGAGTATCTGTAAAGACCTCAACAAAAAGTAAATGAAGGCCTTATTGTGAACTTAACCTAAAAGGGCAGTCTGTCTCTTTTACTTTGTTCCCCTCCTTGTGTCTGAAAGCTGTGCAAACATCTACTGTCTGGTTCTTACGTAATTGAAACTAGTTTCTGCTGTTTGCAACTATGGAATACAGTGAGCTGATGAGCCTTCATAACTGCATGCAGTGTTCTTATAGAAAAGTAGGACTGGGGAGTAACCCATTCAAATTGGATTAACCATGGAAATGGTCTAATTCAGAGGTCCCCAAACTGTGGTATGCATACGCCTGGGGGTATACAAGACATCTCTGGGTGGTATGCAAGAAAAACTGTGTAATGACAGATTTAATTTTCATTATAAGAATAAATGACATTTAAAAGGTTAAAATATAAAACATGCTGGTAAGGGTACACAGGCAGCTGGTAAATCTGGAAAGGGCTACACAATAAGAAAAAGTTTTGGAACCTCTGGTCTAATTGATTGCAGTGGGAACTGAATTTACCTTATAAAACTGTCCACCTGCTGTCAATGTTGGTTTGGTCAGAGTGTTTCAAAGTGCATTCTGGACAAACTGGGCCCAAACTTGAAATAATTGATTTGCCTGAGACATAGGTGGCTTGTTAAAAGCTGATACCTTGTTTCACCTCCTCTTATTCAGGAGAGTCATTAGACTAAAGGGAAGAGGAAAACAAGCAACAGACTTATTTTCATATTTGTATATTAGAGGTGTGCGAAGCCTGAATCAGGAACAGTGATTCAATTCGTTGATTCGGATTACTGTCCCTGATTCGATTTGGCCGAATCTAAATCTGAAGATTTGATGCTGATTTGGAGAATCAGCGATTTGGACATAGTCACAGCTTTAAACATTTTTTTCTACATATCTTGAGGTAGCAGGCGCAGCTCATGATCGCTGCGATGCTGGGGCGCGTGGAGTGTCCCACAGGAGCACAGCGGGGCCCTTCACGTGCTCAGCAGCAAGGTACTTCCAGTCCACTTCTGGGTCTGCCAGGGAGCACACCGAGGGCCCCCCCTACACCTCCCCGGCTTGGTGATCAGCTGCAAGGGGACCCCGGGTGCCCCCGCCCCAGACCCAGGAGGCACTAGTCACTGAGCCAGGGGGAATGGGAGAGCCCCCCAGCATGCCCCCTGGTGGACCTGGAAGTGGACCAGAAGTGTTTCTGGTCCACTTCCAGGTCTGCTGCTGAGCATGCTGGGGAGCCCCCCGTGCTCCTGTGGGATGCTCCATGTGCCCCAGCATCACAGTGATCATGAGCCCCTGCTACCTAGAGGTATGTAGAAAAAATATTTAAAGCTATCTCTATGTCCAAATCTCCGAATCTCTCTGAATCAATTCAGATTCAGAGATTCAGCCACCGAATCAGGCTGAATCTGCACCAAATTGAATCAAGGGACCGAAGCTTTGCATAGCTGTATTGTAT